ATAGCTACAGTTCCCAAAGTGAAGTATGTTATCATTGAAGCTTGTTAGTTGAAATCTACCGTTTCTACTTATCAGTTGTTCACGTGTGCGTCGGTGGCACAGTGGTTAGGACTCTCGCCGACCATGCACATGGTCCGGGGTTCGATCCCCTGCCGGCGCACACCCGATATCTATGGTCGGCCTGAATTTGGGCTACCGATATCCATGCTGAAAATTCCACACATGTACTGAAAATACGGTGTGGAATCAAGCTGTAAATCAAAAAAAAAATAAATATATATCGAAGTAGGATAACATTTTTTTGTTTTAAAACATCCTATTCTAGTATATACAAGCTTTTACAGTAGTTTATAAGTTATTATTATCATTATTATCATCATCATGATCTTCGTCAGGGCGGTGGCATTTCAGCTTGTGTCAGCTTTTCAACAAAACGGATTATATCGCTTTTTTTTATAGTCTTTCTTACCTGAATAATCTTTGTGTTTGTTCTGATTCACTATCCAACACACACACGCACAAACACACACATCTTTGAAGAATAGTCATTGTGTTCTGCCTTCAATTTTTTTCTCATGTCTTAGAAAAAAATATATATATTTAATTATATTTTATGTTTTAACTGTTTCGCTTAATGACAAGTATATTTTAAAAGGTTTCTCAGATTTTCATATTTCAGTAAAGCGGTATTATTGAGAGCGGTAGAATTACGGTGACATTATACACACATATGTATCTTTACATATATATGTTGGGACGAATGAATTGTAGACATACCTACATAGTTTTGTCCATTACAAGCACTTGAATGTATGAGAGGCGTGTGTATTTCTTCTTCTTCTACGTATAACTTGTTCAGTATGCTTAGTAGTATAATACTACTATGACCTAAAAAAAGCGTCAAGTGTAACCATTATGAAACCATTTTAAAATGTTTTGCTCTTTGTGCATATTCCTGAATGTATACTATTCCAGCATGATGCATGGTACTTTACTCAGTGGTAGGATCAGTGGTTAGGACGTAGAATGCTCGCTAACCACACCTCATCACGTGTGGTCTAGGGTTTGATTCCTAGCCAACAGGCGCACACCTTTACCTCTTTTAACCGGTTGTAAGCTGCCCGACAAAGAAGAAAGGTCGTGTGTGAATGAGGCTAGCAATTCCACGTGGTAAATGTATATACATGAAGTCTGATCCCAAGTAGAGTGTACTAGTGACACCTATTTTGTACTAGTCTGTTGGGACTCTTCGACAGTGCACACCCATGACCCCGACCACCGCCATGAATGTAACCCATTATCTTCTTCAGATTTCAGGAGGTGGTGATCTTGTTGACTGTTCAGTCACTAGGACGGGAATTCACTGGCCTGTGATATATGTAGGGGTAGGGTTAAAGTCAGCCAATGTTATCGACGAGTATATATTCCTCATACCCCACTGGTCACGACTTCCCACTAGAACAATGTTTTTTTTCTATCGATGATTTTCTATAGTTTGGTTTGTAAGGGTTTGTTATGTTTTTACGAGTTGATCACGGATTGATATCAGTTAGAGAACCACTGAAAACCAGCATTGGAGTACTGGACAGCTGTTGTTTCATCCTAGTTTGGGAATCGTCGATAGTACGCACCCACCATAGTGGGGTTCGAACCCAAGACCTTCCGGTTACAAGGCAAGCTGGCTCGTATACCATTCAGCCACTGGGACCCGACCCGATTCAATGGCTCATGAATTCTAGCTTCTACCAATTTGTGATTTAGCGCGACCCCAACCATTGTCGTTGGTGGGACATCCATCCACACACGTGACATCTAATTGGACCACCTCACTGGTCACGACTTCTCACTAGAACTACAGGAAACTCCATCCTGTAGCAAGTCACTAGCGAGAAGCATCAGATTAATTTTCTATAGTTTGGTTTGTAAGGGTTTGTTATGTTATGGTATACGAGCCTGCCTCATAACCGGAAGGTCCTGGGTTCGAATCCCAGCGGGTGCGTACTGCCGATGATTTCCAAACTAAGATGAAACAGCAGCTGTCCAGTACTCCCTAGTTTTCAATGGTTCTCTATCGATGATTGTTATGTTTTGTTGGCTGACAAGAAGGCATTATTCCCTTGAAATCATTATGGTGGGGATGAACTCTCCTTCATACACACATACACACACACAAACAGATGCATACGCCACCCCTATCTTTCAGTCAGCAGAATATCAGAGGGAAAGCTTATTTTAGGATCATTTTCCCCTTTCCTTTTGTCAACAAAATGTATGCATATATATATATGAGGTAGATAATCCTAAATATGTATAAATTACAACAAGAACAATAACAAATATGAAAGAATACATAGATAATTTACATTCCAACGAATACGTATATATAGAGAGAGATGGGTTTTTGTTGATATTTTCGTCGTTGAGCTATTTACTGTATTTTGATTCCCCTGTTTTTGTTTTTTTTGGTGCATATTTTGTAAAAGAATTCTACTTATCCCCACCTTCATTCTGTCTGAATAGTATTCATAATAATAATAATAATAATAATGGTAATTAATGTTCTTTTGTTTGTTTTTCTGGGTTTTTTTTATTCACTCGTGTTCATACATACGTAGATGGGTAGATAGATAGTTATACTCGATGTTAGTAATAATTAGATTGGTGTTTCATATTAATAAATAATAATAATAATTGTAACAATAATAATAGAACTACCTACTCCTCTTGTGTTTTGCATAGTTTGATAGCGTAGAAAATGATTGATTTACCACTGAGTAGGTTCATATACACAACTACATATATACAGTGTATTGACTGTGAATGTATTAGATTCACTGTATCTACGTATCTACCTATCTATCTATCTATGTACCTATCTATGCATGTATCTCTGTTTATTCAAACCTCTTTCAAACACAAGCAAAGAGGATGAGATCACATAATATAACCAGTGTTAAAATGTATTAATATTATTATTACTATTATTATCATCATTATTTGCCTTGTAAAATCAACTCTGAACATCCTCATTATGTATATGTATATCTTCATTTCCTGTATTTTTTCTCTTTTTACTATTATACTACTACTAATACTACTTATAACAGGGAACAATAAAGTGAAGGCCTAATTTGTTGTATTATTCTGTTAGGTTCTTTTTTTGTGATGCATTTATATGTGTATACAATATATACACGATGAAATGGATCACTTCCTAGTTTGATTCTTTCTTTCTTTCCTCCTTTCTTTCTTTCTGCTCTGTCTTGTAATCTAGCGCATATACAGGAAGTTTATAGTATCTCCTTTATTATTATTATTATTATTATTATTCAGAAATGATTTATCATATATGAATGGATGGATGATGGCAATTTTAACACTTGTGAATCCTATGGTGTGTGTGATTTATTGGTTTTGCCGATCACTCGATATACAACTGCACACATACACAGAAAGAGAGGGTGATAAGTTCGAAGGTGGTGTTCCCCTCACCGACTAAGGTTTGCGTAGGGATGGGTATCATAGTATCAGTGTTATCAACCAACCAACCAATTGCATGAGTGATATTGTACTCTAGGCTGTGGCCTTTAGTGGAACTTGAATGGAAAACCATGAGTTGAGCTTGTGTGTGCGTGTGAGGGTGATATGGAGGAGATGAGAACTTATGGGTAGTTGAGGAGCCAGATATTATAAAGGACTGTAGAGAATGCGGATGAAATGGAGATGTACTGCCGAAGTCCTATGTTTTACTAGGAATCCAAGGGAATAATAGTAATAATAATACACTGATGCCCTTCACAATATTTAAAGTATATTTTTCACTTATAATAAGTGTGCCTTCTAAAAAAGCCCTTATTTTAGGATTCTTCATCAGTACGCACCTACTGAAGTTCGAACCCAGGACCTTCTGGTTACAGGGTGAGTTCATAGACCACTAAACTACTGGGACCCGAACCGATCCAATCGCCAGTCCACGAATTCCAACTTCAGCTAATTCACGATGTGGCGCGATCATAAGCCAACATCATCGGCTAGTGTTTGTTCTCACACCCGACCTGCTGTACCCCACCACTGCTCACGACTTCCCACTAGAACCCAGGCAACTACCTACCTGAACAGGGACAGCCACTAGTGAGCATTAGATTGATATTCACTATTCCTCCCAAGCTGGGTCCTCTAATCGATATCAATTCATGAAATGATGAAATCCACTTAAAAAGCCCTTTATTTTTAACTTTGACGAATTTATTTCTACTTGCGAACGTGTCTACTTTATCATTTCGGTGGTCTTTGATCACATGTTAATTATACTGAAATTTCAAGCTTTGATCACGTACTAACTTCAGTTAGAGAGAACCATTTAAAGCCAATAGGGAGTACCATATACAGCTGCCTCGCCCTAGTTTGTGACTCTTCAGCAGGGAACACCTATTATCGCACCCATGGCTAGGGATCGGACCCAGTACCTTTAGGTTACAAGGGGAATTTGTTGGACCGTTCAGTCACAGTGGGTGGACTACAGTAGCCCATGAATTCTAGCTCCTTCCAATTCGGGATATATTCAGCGCCACCTCCAGTCAAGGTCGTCGGCGAGTATCTGTCCTCACACTCTACTGTCCAGTACTCCCTAGTTTTGAATGATTCTCCAACCGGAATCAGTTTGTGAGCAAAACTTAAAATCAATCAAATTCCTGCAAATCATTACTTGATGGGTCTGTCGCCATCATTTTCACCTCAGTAAGTGATGGTCATATGTTCTCAAATGTTGTTGCCATCTAGTAAGCCATTGTTTTCAACAAAAAGGTAAAATTTGACCATTGATATCACTTACCCTGCCTAATATGAATCTTTCTCACTGTTCATGTCAAATAGAAGAGCACATGAATACCTACAAATAACTTAGCTACTATTCTTTTTATTTCTAATCCATTTTTGTTTTCGCGATCATTTCATCTGTGTTCTATTGTTGTTTCTTTTTTTTATCTTCTCATTATTCATAGGTGATCTTTGGCTTCAAAAACCATTGGACTATGAACAAACACCGGCGTATTTTTTAACAATTGAAGCACGTGATCGTGGTCAACCGCCTTTGAGTAGTACAGCTGTATTAACTGTTCATGTAGACGATGAGAATGATAATCGACCACAGTTCATGGGAAGACAACGTATTCCAGACAGTATTGAATTGAATCGACTAGATGGATTGTCTAAAACAGCTGACTCAGATTTCTATCAGTATTATTATGCCTTCAGTGTGGTTGAGAATAGTCGAAATGGTACAGTTGTCGGCAAAGTAAGTGTCTAGAAAATGTTTCAGTCTTGTTTTTTTGTTTTGTTTTACAAGCACCAACGGTCATTGAAGAAGTAAATTCATGAATTCAAGGCAGGTTAAGAATTTTCTTTCTTTCACGTTCCCCAGTGAAACATAGGGCTTCAAGCTAGTGGCTTGAAGTTTCTGTAGCAGTGTTTATTTTTACAGGATGGGGTTGCTAGCCTCATGCCCAACCTTTACTCTTCACCACTATTGTTTCTGGCTTAGCGAGGTGAAGGAGTGCGTCAGTGGCCGGGGATCGTACCCCGGACCATGTGCATGGTCGGCGAGCGTCCTAACCGCTATACCACCGACTCACTAGGTTAAGATCTAGGGAACATTAATTTTCTTAATATCCAACTAAATAAAGCTGTGTATAGGATTTCATCATGAGCTGACATTGGTTAGAGAAGCATTGGAAAACCTGACCAGTAGGGTGCAGCAGGTCGATTGTGAGGAGAATTACTCGCTGAAGACATTGGCTAGTGGTCGCGCTATGTCGTGAATTGGCAGAAGTTAGAACTCATGGGCCATTGGATCAGGTCCCAGTGGCTTAATGGTCTAAGAACCCAGAAGGTCCTGGATTCGAACCCTGTCGGTGGGTGCGTACTATCGAAGAGTCCCAAAAAAGACGAAACAGCTTTGTAGTACTCCCCGTTGGTTTTCCAATGATTCTCTAATCAATGTCAGCTCATGATGAAATCCTGTAACCGGTCAAATCCCTACAAAACAATACTTAAATAAAGTTGTGTATCTTAGCAGCTAGTAGAGAAAGTTATCAGTCCCATTTATCTTGGCAACATCGTTTCATTTACAGTAGTCACGAATGAAGATATCAAAGGCGCAGGATTGGAAAGGCATGACAGACCTGCATTCCTCTGGAATCAGTCTGAAAATCTACTGAACACTAATGTGAAGTCACTCAGCGCTTCTATATGGTCCAGAGACTTGCCGTGTCAGCAGAAGCATTTCCGACTTGCTTCTGTAGACTTCCATCAACAGTTGCCCCCTTCTCTGACTCCATATATTGAAGATCGAGTGGTCTGTCAGGAGGGATAAGCAATAGGGAAATCTAGCAACCTAAGCAACCAAGAGCCAAGTAAAGATGATCGAAGCCCTAGGTTCCAATTGGAACCTTAGTCAATAACATTAATAATAATAATAAGCTTGCCAGTTGAGTTTAATCTTTATCTTTGAACCAATTATATAAATGACAACTATTTTAACCAGACTTATAACTCAATATTGGTAATCTTATCTTATTTCTGTTCATTATCGATTTTTTTTTAAATATTCTAGTTGAATGCTATCGATCCAGACAGTGGAGATAATGGTCGTGTCAGTTTCCACATGGGTGAAGACATTGATTTCTCTGCCTTATTTAAAGCCTACCATGATGAAGATTCAGCGTATACAGAATATTTAACCGTGTCTGAGGCTAAAACACGCTTTAATCTCGATAGTGATTCTGGTCGGCTAATGTTAACATTTCAACCAGATCGTGAAGTGATCAATAGTTATTGGCTGGTTGTACAAGTTGTCGATCATGGTAAACCAAACGCACTGTCGAGTTTAACACTAGTCCATGTACAAATATTGGATATCAATGATTGTTCGCCTACATTTGAAAAATCAAGTTATGAGTTTTATGTTGAGGTAGGTGAAAGGTTTGTGTTTCTTTTTTTCTGTTTTTGTTGTTGTTGTTGTTGAATTGATGGTAAAAGCTTCCCCTTTTTCATCTCCCTTGATGTCTCACTCTCTCTCTAGCCTTCGTTTTTTTTCACTGTTGTTATACGTTTGTTTATGCGTGATAACGAGCTTAAAGAGATGGAAGAATGATTTCTGCAGTCTTTTTATTATTATTATTGTTTCGTCACTCCTACCCTTTACTTATGATGATGATGATGATGATTGTGTAATCATCGTCAGTTAGTTTTTTGTTCCCTTCTTCGTTCTTCTGTGAGTGTGTGTACACACACACATACACGCACACGCACACGCACAGCTTCTCTCCCATCTGTTATGATCTTTAATTGATGATGCATAATGAGACAGATGCACGAGAATTATAATTCACCGGTTGACTTCTTTCTTCTTTTTTTGTGATTTTATTATCGATCCATCGATCGATCGGTCGGTCGTGGTGGTAGTTTTGTAGTGGTGAAGATTGTCGAAGAGGAGGAAGGAAAAATGAAGGGAAGACTGTGTTAAAGAACTCTCAACAACGGCGAAGAAAAAGATGACGAAGTCCTCATCATTTAGTAGGATGTGTCCCTGCTTGTTTGTTTGTTTTTTGGTTTTTTTAAAGATTCAGCAAAAGTCTCTTCTTCTTACTGATGACCTACTTACTGGACGATAAAGTGTGTATTTTTCTTTCTTAGAAAAAAAAGTCACCAGAAGTTTTATGTTCACCTGTTTCTAAAGCAAGGCTAGCTGTTTTGTTGTGTACACTGTGTGTCATTTCAAACCAGGGTGTTGAATGTTTGTTTAATCAAAAACAATATTTTGTGTCTACAACATGTGTAGCGCCTTGAAATCTATGTGGCTAGACGTGTCATCGATCACATGTATAGATTTACGTGGGATTCATTGACTTAGGCACTTGACTTTCCATCGTCAGTGGAGGTCCCGGGTTCGAGTCTTGCTCAACACATACCGACTTCAGTTTGGGAAACTGCGGGTTCATAGCCCCGGTACTGGATGATAACTGAATTCTGCCTAACATACGCAGAGGAGAGAGAGACCATTGAGTGATATCATGCGTAGGACAGGCCCTGGACTTGAGTGGAAACCCGAATGAGAAATGAAGAATAATCGGACGTTGGTCCGAGAAGGGTGACGTGGGAGAAGTCGTGCGAGGTGTTGCAGATGAAAGCTTGTGGGCGGTCCTGGAGCCAGATAAAAAGGACCACAGACAAGAAGATGAGATATAGCCAAGGATATTAGCTTTGTGTCTTCCGTGTTAAGTGATATAATATGGTGAATAATATTGAGATTAGGCATAGAGTGTTAGATAAGGAGGGTAAGTCAATGGATGACGTTGTGAAGCCATATCGATTGAGGTGGCTAAGACATCTGTTAAGCATGCCTAACCTTCGCCTTCCTCAGTGGGTAGTGTTAGCTGACATGCGATCAGGTTGGAAATTTTGTGTGCGATTTGAAATCGAAACTCGATGTTTAAACGTTAAGTACATAATTAAGGAATGTGATGTTCATCACTCATATATGTTTGTGTGTATTACGATCATCATTATTATTCGTTCTCTTTGGGTTCTTAGTAGGGCATAAGGCTTTGCCAGCACCTCTGCACTTTTATTCCCTTCTCTGCTGTCCATTTCTTTTTTAGCTGGTTCTACCATCCATTGTCTTATTTTATGCGTAGGCTTTAACCAGGATAACCGCTTATCAACAATTTTTCTTTGAGCGTTTATTTCCCTAGATGTATCCATCACAGTCTTAATGTTGACAAAATCGCATCATTATTATGATTTTCATTCCATTTTATTGGTTTTTTTTGTTGTTTTCTTTGTTTTTATCGTGAATTTCTTCATTACTTTCTTCAATATGTATATTTTTGTTTATTATCATTATGATTATTATTATTAATATTTTTATCATTTTCCTCATTTAAATATTCAGGTTGATCGATCGGGGAATATTAGTACGTGCTCGGAAAAACAAGTGAGTCATATTCAATGATGTTTTCCCTTTTTTTCATTTTTCTCACTTTGCATACGATTGATCATTGTTCAGTGATTTTGTGTGTGCGTATTTGTGTGTGCGTGTGAGTGTGTGTGTGATTGAATTTCCATTCTGACATACACGCATGCATGATCTGCATATATAAACGGTTCGTTACGTAAGAACAGAACTTGGGCACTGTGAACACTGAGTATAATTTTTGATTGCACACTAGTCAGTAACTAGTGTAATGTATCTAGTCCTATCTTCGGCGCAGACTGAATTCTATTGTCAGTCAAGTTTGCAATGTGGCCACCATGCTAGGTGGCTCGCCATTACGGTGCACTGTGAATTGTTGATATTAGATGGTTGGAGGCAATCGGCCACAGGAAGCCTTTGACCTAGGTTTCGTGCTATTTGGTACCCACTCACCAGTCAGCAAGGCGTATCTGCAACCTTGAAGGAACTGATGTCCCTTCTGAGATTCGAACCCGCGTCACCCAGTGCTGCATGACTGAACCGAAGATAGGACTAGACACATTACACTAGTTACTGACTAGTGTGCAATCAAAAATATCCAATACAGTCCTACAGGAGGTCAGTCGCGAGCCTGAATAGCTCAGTGGTAACGTCTCTGACTGCAGCACTTGGTGACACGGGTTCGCATCTCAGAAGGGACATCAATTCCTTCAAGGTTGCAGATACGCCTTGCTGACTGTTGAGTGCCAACTAGCATGAAACCTAGATGTGTCCAAGAATTCCTGCGGCCGATTGCCTGCAACTATCTAATATCATCAAGAGTAAAGATTAATTAATCACGCTGACTAGTTATTTAGGATAATTTTATTTGAGAAGAATGTATCTCTATCTGTTCTAAATTTCTTTAAGCTTTCATTTTATTATGCCTGAGTTCATGAACGAATGCAGGTGACTTCATTGGTGAAATCTATTCTATTACCTGATGGACACCAATATCTTCCTTTGTTCACACTTTTCTCACCACATAAAATAAGTACCAAATAAGGTATTGTAGAGTTTTTATACTTAGACGTCCGAGCATAAAGTCTTCTATAGTTGCATCTAGTCTCAACTGTTGAGGTGTGATGAGAGAGTTGTGTATAGAGACTGACTGACTGACTGACTGGCTAGAAGACGATATCTTGCTCGTGCTCATCTATCAAATTTCCCAATGAGTCCTGTTGGATGAAGTTGGGTGAAGTTGAGAAAGAATTAAGGATGATCTTAAACTAAAAGAGTAACATTAATCCATGAAGTTTCTAACTTCGACCCAACCTCATTTGGACGAAGAGAAACTATTATACAATAAGTTCCTCTAAAAATTCTTTACATTATATGAACACTGTTCAGACTACAGGCTGTTGCAGTTATTATTAGTTATTCTTGCAGAAATATTGTTCAATTTATCATTAAATAGATTGAACTGCTTGTAAGTAAATGCGGAGGTAGGGTGGGGTGGCGATATGTTTCAATTTCTACACACAGAATACCAGATTAAATTTGATTTTTATTCATACACATTTTGTGTCAACACAAGGACATTACAACCATTTCACATGAAAATGATGTGTATAGTTTGGAAATGGTGTATATCACACTACTAATGATAATGTTGATACCGATAACTACTGTGGTATACCACATATATATCTGGAGTAGATATTCATCGTGCGTCGGTGGTATAGCGGTTAGGACGCTCGCCGACCATGCACATGGTCCGGGGTTCGATCCCCGGCCGACTCACTCCTTTACATCGCTAAGCCAGAAATAATTCTGGTGAAGAGGAAAGGTTGGACATGAGGCTAGCAACCCCATCCTGTAAAATAAACACTGCTACAGAAACTTCAAGCCACTAGCTTGAAGCCCTATGTTCCACTGGGGAACGTGAAGGACGCAAAAAAAAGATATTCATCACTTCTCTCCTAATTCACGCATAAATCAAATCAAGATAGAGATGAAGAAGTTGATTTTGAAGGATGACACTTCATTTTTACAACATTTTCTGGGCTGTAGGATACCTTCCAGTATGATGTTTTATGCAGAATGTGGGGGGGGGGGCAATCTTTCCCGTTAAACATTATTTCTGAATGAAGAATATTCACCAACAGGTTATCGTTCATTTTCATATTATTTATCATTAAGTTGGGCGGTTTACAATACAATACACTACAATACAACAATACAAATTCTTAAATGACTTCTGTATTTTTTCCACACTCTGTGTTACCTTAGTAAATGTCATATTTTCTGTGTTTTCTGTGAAGATGACATTTGAACACTTTTGTGAACAGTTTTGTGTGTGTCTTTGTGCGTGTGTGTGCGTGTGTGTGCGCGCGCGCACGTTGTATATTTGATTCTTTTCCCCATGTATCTGGAGTAGAAATGTTTCCGCCGCATTCTCGTCTCCTCCTACTTAATCATCACATAATGATAAATGCATATATATATATATATATATATATTAAGGTATTAAAGGTAGTTCGAATTTATTTCACCTCAACTTTGTATTTTGTTCGTATCATTATTACCGCCATTTTTGTCGAATTTAAATCCGCCTTTTTTTCGGCGGGAAAATTTAAATGAAGACATTTTTCTGTGTGTGTATGTTGGAAGATTAGAATTCACATGAAAAAAAAAGAAGAAGAGAATAAACCACTGACTGACTCATTGATGAAAACAAAGCTATTAAATTTGACAAAATCATAATGTAGTAATTTTTATATCATTACCTCTACGCCTTTCTATTCGAAGCATCATTTCTAGAAAAAAATTCGCTTACAAGCATGTTATAAGTGGGGTTTTTTGTTTTGGTGTTTTGCTGAACACAGTTAGGCAAAAACATTACAGACCAAAAAGAATGTAAGATTTTACCATGGTGAAATCTTACATTTTATGTACTGTGAATTTATTTTTCTTTGAGACGAAGATCATGTCATTGACTTTGAAAAGGCTGGCGACACTGTCGACTAGTAAGAGTAATTTCGAAACTGTTTGAACACTGCAGAGGGTTAAGCACCGCCTCAGACCTTTATCAACTTCTTTATTCAACTGTTGAATAAAGTGTGTACACTTTTATCACTTCTAGATTATGGGATTTTCTCTGTTGGGATTTGGATTAATCTCAACGTGGATTTCCTTACATACATACCTACTGGATAGAAAGATTTCTGAGGCTCTAATTAGAAATTCGTGACCATTAGGTTCCGCCACATCAAGGCGAAGTGGATGTTCATTGTTAAGGCATTGGTTGAGGATAACGCCAAATCACGAATCGGCAGAAGTTAGAATTCACGGATCATTGAGTTCCAGTTCAAGTAGCTGATGCCAAGTTTTCGTTTGATAACCAACCTGATCCTATGTCAGCTAATATTGCTCATCGAGGAAGGCTATGTCTAGGAATGCATGCGTAATACATGTCCTAGCCATCTGAATCGATGCAACTGCTTCACAATCTCGTCGATTGATTTCCCCTCCTTACCCAGAACTCGATGCCTAACCTCAATATTGCTCAAGTTATTATACCACTTCGCACGGGAGACAGAACACAGACACCTATGCTCAAAGACAGCTAGCCAGCTTTTTCATGTCTTCCACTTTCAGTGACCATGTCTCACTCATCGTCAACCATAAAGGAGGACGGAGCGAACTCATGAGCAGAAAACACGTCCTTTGGTCGACAGCCAACCGGATATCACGTCTACTCCAGAGATGGTGTAAGTCGTTGACATATGCTAAACCAGCCTTCTGTATCCTTACTGAGATGTCGTCAGAGATCAACCCGCTGGGACTGGCTGATGCAATTTCCAAAATAGGTGAAGTAGTGGTCAACGGCCTCAGTCACCACTTTACTCCCTATATTTAATGTGGAGGTCAGTGTAGTTCAGTCCTGTAGCATCATCTTACATTTGACGGGGAGCTAGTCGCATGCCAGACATTCACAGATTGCTGCTCATGGTGCTCAGAAGACTCTGTATTTTGTCAGCGTCTTCACCTAGGAGGGAGGACTATATCATCCGCATATTCTAAGTCAACGAGATTATTCCCTTGTGGTAACAAGTCAATCCCTGAGTCGTTGAAGTCAGTTAAAGTTAAGTCGCATTAGTACATCTATGAGCACTGTTGGAGAGCCCCATAATAAAGACGAATTAGCTATCCAGTACTGTTTCAGTGACTTTTAGTGATCTCTCTAACCGATGTGTTAACTTGTGACCAAATCCTTGCTGAAATTTCCCCACCTCATTCTTCGCTGATAAGCTTTTCGTTGTTCAACGGTAACATTAGTCAAAACCGGATTCTCCTCCCAATAATTCAACTCATTTTCAGTATACTATTTAGAGGGTATAAAACTAACGTGATAATGTAACTCTACTGTTGTATATTTGTTCCTTTGTCTACTTCAATTCGGTGTATCCAAATCAAACAATTTTCCCTTTTTTTTTGTTTGTTTTCTTTTACTGAATAGGATTCATTTGAAGGAAATTGTCAATCTGTATCCGGTGGTAATGTTTTGATTGGTCGATTAAAATTGACAGATGCTGATGCCTATCCAAACTCTGGTCCATTCACTTGTCAATTGGCTAATTCTGGCTTTATGCAAACTGCTGTAATACACGATGCATCGATTAGGTCAAATGTTGCTTCGACTACTAGTACTGCTACTAGCAGTAGTACATTGTTTTCAGTTCGAACTATGGAGCATAATCAGAGTAGTAGTAGTAATAATAATAATGGTAGTTCTCAGGTGATGATGAATAGTGATAATCAAGCAAAGAATGAAATCGATTATAGTCGAGGAGAATGTTTAATCTATGCAATTGATAGACTACCTGTAAGTTGATAACATTTACTGTCATTCGAAATCTTTTCTGTCTCTTATGAATAATTTTATTGATTATTTTATTCCTTTACGTTCCTCCTAGTGGAACATAGGGCTTCAGGTTAGAGCTTTGAAGATTCGGTAGCAGTGGTTTCATTTTTACGGGGTGGGGCTGTTAGCCTCATGCCCAACCTTCCATCTCTTTACCAGTCTTATTACTAGCTTAGTGAGGTAAAGGAGTGAGTCGGCCGGGGAACGAACCCCGGACCATATAGGAGTGCCACTGTGCCACCGACGCCCAGGGATGCTTTTTGGAATAGCTGCTAGTCTAAGCTCTTCGTGTTTCTTTACGTTGCCAGTGGAACATAAGCCTTCAAGCTACAGTTTTGAAGTTCCAGTAGTAGTGGTGTTTGTTTTTACTGGAGGGGGGTTGCTAGCCTCACACCCAACCTTCCTCCTTTACCACGTTTGCTATCAGTTAGACAGAGAGGTTTAGGAATGCGTCCGTCGGTCGGGAGTCGAACCCTAGACCACATGAGGTGTGGTTGGTGAAAATTTCACCATTCGTGTTTTTGTATTTATTTAATTTAAATCAGGCAGGAGATAAATTTATGGGCTTGTTACTCATCGTTCACTGTGTTTAATGATCATAGGGTTAAGTTTATCAGTCAATTCTTTGTCTTGTGCATGAAGTGATCAACCCCTCTGTGTTTAACTCTATTGATTCTGTGTTATATATTGAGTAGTTTAGGTAACTGAACATAAGAGTATAAACAGGCAATTTATTTCAAGTTGAAATCCTGTTCAATATTATTATTATCATTGTTCCCTTGGGTTCCTAGTGGAACATAGGGCTTCAACTGCACGTCTCCACTTGTTTCTGTCTTCCGCTGTACTTTTCACCTGCATCCATGTTAGCCCATACTGTTTCAACTCCTCTTCACACGATCTACTCCATGTCACCCTTGAACGTCCCACTCGCCACTTCCCTTTCGGGTTCCACTCGAGCGTTGGCCTGACGCACGATGTCACCCAGCGGCCTCCTCAGCGAGTGTTCAATCCATCTCCACTTTCTCCTGCATATTTGTTGGGCGATTGGTTCTTGTTTTGTTTCTTCACATAGTTTCTTGTTGGTGATTCTTTCCGGCCGTCTGATCTTCAGTATAGAGCGAAGACAGTTGTTGTTGATAGAGGTCTGCAACAGGCTGTTGGAAATATTCTTTGTGACCCGCCGCTAAGTTTCTGATCCATCCGTATAGAAGAACTGACTGACTTGACGTTTGTATTGAAAATCCGAATTTTGTTGTTGATGTTGAGGAGTGACGAAGATTTCCAGATTGGTTTCAGGTTGATGAATGTGTTTCTCTGTTCAATATAGGGATCCTAAAAAAAGTTTGTATTAAACGTTGTGTGCTGTGGAATGACAATGACACACAGTGTATTTTTTGTTGTTGTTGTATTATTGCGATATATTGATGGTTATTTTCTTGGGTGCGGATGATAAGTCACGTTTAATAGGATTTGAATGTATTTTCTTGACTATAAAACGTGGTGGAAATCCACTTTCTATTAGGATTTTCCTCAAAAGATTTCACTCATCTTCGACAGTATCAAGGCTATATATGCACCGAATGCGAGTGGTAAGCAATCGGACCAGGTTTCGTTTCCGACCAATGGGTACCCAACTGTAAAAATTTGTCAGTTGACCATCCCATGACAGCTTTCGATAAATCGATCTCTTCAGAGTTCCATCAGTCCTCCTTGATGAGTTCACATCGAGGAAATGAATACTAGACTCGTTCTCCATTTTGGAGTGTGAATTTTATCGCTGGATGGCAAGCATTAAATGCATTTAATATATTATTCAAATTACAATTCACTATTACAAATAATAAAGGTGTCATCTACATACCTTTTATGCACTTGGAAGCTTTGGATTGTTGACTTCAACTGACCATTTTCTAGACTGGCCGATTTATCGAAAGCTGTCATGGAATGGTTAACTGACAAATTTCTACAGCTGGGTATCCATTGGTCGAAAACGAAGACTGATGATTGTATCTAGTATCCTGAAATTTTATCGGGTTTCAGACAAGTGATCTTTTGACTGATAAGTTACTTCAAATATTTAGAAGTTCACTCACAAAGATCCTAATTTCATACTGAGAGTGACATACACGCGCATCTACATACTTAATCACCATCTACAAACAAGCCTTCCCATCAGGTTGTGTATTTCAATGATATTTGTCATCTTTACAGAATAACAGTAGACAGAACAGGGTTTTAATCTATGGTTAAAATAATTGATACATATTTCATTAGAAGTTTCGAGCAGAGCTGCTGCTCCAAAGTTCCTGGTCCTACCGTTCTTATTGTATCTCAGTACGGACTTCTTTATTCCACAGTATCCATCTTTGAAGTTTTTCGACGTTAACACGTTTCCGTTTGCCTCCTCTTTTGATTGCATAAACAGAATCATGTAACCAGAAGGTCCTGGGTTCAAACCCCGGTGGGTGTGTACTGATGAAGAGTCCCAAACTAGGACGAAACAGCTGTCTAGTACTCCCCACTGGTTCTCCAATGGTTCTCTAACCAATGTCAGCTCATGATGAAATCCTGTAACCAATCAACCAAATCCCTACAAACCAATATTTGAGAATCATGTCTCTTGGTGACTGTGTAGGGTCATTCCCATTTTGGAAGACGTTTCCGTAATTCAAACCCGCCTCTAACAGTTTACTGTCTTTCTCTACACTTTACCTGATCTCCGAATTCAAATATTATGCTCACCTTTTTTCCTCTCTATTCAAATTTCGCAGTGTGAATCTTCTGTTTATGCTTCATATTTCTGACTGCTTCTTTCCATTCCGTGTGCCATGTCTTCTTACTTCGATGTCGATGGTAATATGGCCAGGTTTCCTACCATATATAAACTGAAATGGAGACTTCTTTGTTGTTTCCTGAACAAAAACACGATGTGTTAGTAGAATCTATGGAAGCCCTATCTCCCAGTGACACCTTCCTTTAGGGCCAACCACTCCTTAAGTTTGCTGTCACTTTTCTCTATCGAACCATTATTTTGTGGATGATACGGTGCTTTTGTAATCCTCCTTGTTACCTAGTTTCTACAAGGGGGATGTAAATTGCTTACCTTCAAAAGAAAGATCTTGATTCCTCCGTATATATATGTATATATATACACGTGGGATTCTATCAGATAATTATTCAGTGAAGTCTACAAATTATGTGTTTCATGGTATTTTCTGCGTCTTGTCATTAAACGTTGTTATCGTATATTCAATTTATACTCCCATATTTTTATTATTAAGCGAATAAGAGTTCATATAATGTGTCTTTGCATGCTTATTTCATACTTATTTATTATTACGTAATACATTTTGATTTTGTAGGTTGGTAGTCAAAGTTTAGTGATAAGAGCTAATGACAATGGATTGACTGCATTGCATACTACAACTACAGTCACAATTCGTGTAATGCGTATGTCAAATTTACCACCAGAAATTGTCAATACAAATTCTACACTCATATACTATCGTGGTAATGCATACAATACTAAGAATATGCTGAATACTGGTTTAACTGAGTCGTCGACCACATCGAAACAAGAACACTCTACACAAAATTATGATACAACAATAGCTCGAATAACAGTCAAAGATCGTACTACACATGATCGTTTGTTTTTCGAATTACTTAATAATAATGATAATAGTGATGATGATAATATGTCTATAGCAAATCTATTCTCAGTGGATCCATACGATGGAACTATACGCTCAGCTGCTGGTGGTGGTGGTACACTGTCATCCAGTTCATCTTCAACACTTCAATCTACACTACGTGATACATCATCGTCATCATCATCGTCGTCACAGTCAGGTTCTACTAAACCTGAAACATATTCATTCCGTAATTCACTGATTCATCTTGATTCTGGTCTTTATCCTTTACGTGTACGTGTCACAAACGGTACACTGACCTCTGAAGCTGTAATGCATATTAAGGTAGGTTGGTTATGTCATATATATATATATATATGTATATACATATATATATATAATGTATTGGGTTTGAGTTGAGGCTTTTATCCTCTCTGGTAGTTGATAACTGTTGTTTGTTACAGTCGTCATTGTTGCTATGATTGTTCCTAAAGTTTTCTTTGACTTTTCGGATTTAGAATGACTATTCGGCATTTTCTTTCATGGGGAATTGTCACTGATCTACTTGACAACAATTGTTATTGAATCCTAATAATAATAATAATAACATACTATGAGAGGAGTTGTGGCTTATTTCGTCTAGCTGCTCAACTTCCAACCACTACTACTGGGTCATCCTTTCGCTAACTTACGCCATCTCTGGCGTAGGCGTGACATACGACTGACTATCAACCAAGGGACGTGTGTACTACTTATCAGTTCGCTCCGTCCTTCTCTATGTCTGGCTCTGAAACATGGCCAATACGAGTTGAAGACATGAAAAGGTTGTCTGTTTTTGATCATAGATGTCTACGATCTCTTTCTGACGTTGGGGGGTGGTATAATAAGGTAAGTAATGTTGACGTTAGGCGTAGAGTGTTGGGCAAAGAGGGAAAATCAATCGAAGAGGCTATGAATTTACATAGATTGAGATGGCTAGGTCACATGCTGCGCATGCCTAACCATCGCCTCCCCCGACGGACGGGCATTACTAGCTGATATAGGTGCAGGTTGGAAAAGAGTAAGTGGTGGCCAAACAAAAACATGGCCTCATCAATCCATGAAATCCTTGACAGTTAAACTGAGTCAGTCAGGTAGGGAGATGCAGACTTCCGGGTTGGGTCCCTCGGGACTCTACGAATCAATGGCTGGAGAAAATAGGTGACATGGCTCAAAATCGTTGTCAATGGCTTACGCAGATGTATTCAGTCTCTGTAATCTTTCATATTCCTTTCTACCATTACTCATTCTGTTTCACTCTTATACTTGTCAAAACTCTATTGATTCTCTTCAGTGATTTTCTTGTCTACCTTTATGTGCTCTTTGGAACGTGGCAACTCGAACTGCTGCACTTCGGTGCCAAGTTCTATGTTGAATCCAGACAGACTGGGTCATGGGTTCCAAAATCCGCCTCATGTACACCGAGGTTTGGGCAGTCAGGTAGTACTACTATCTCTCTCTCTCACACATACAAAATAGGCTTGGCTCTCACTGTCAACTGCATGCAGTTGCAAGTGGTTGCTGAGTAATATTCATGAATCTAGCAGTGTGAAACAGAATAGTTAGAAGTCAACCAGCCAGACAGCTTGTTAAAAAGAAATGTAATGATGTCAGATTTCTTGATTAAGAAATAATATTAACAATAATAGAAATATATATATATATATTGTGAGGTATCTGTTTTTACACTAGTGCTTTAGTGGTTCACTGGTAGACTGCTAAACAACTATACCTTACGTGGCTCTGTGGTCCGGGGTTCGATTCCCGACTGCAGACGTACTTCTCAGTCTCACCTAGTTTACTAGCCGGCAGTGCTAGTAAGCCGCTTGGAAAAGGGGGGAGGGAGATTGGACGTGAGTGAGGCTAGCATCCCCATCTCATAGAACAAAAACTACACTGCTATTGAAACTCCACATCTAGGAGGCCTACGAATAGATTTTGTTTTTCCTTTACTTAACCACATAGGGTGATGTTCGGAAATTCGACGAGAAACATGCCTAATTGTGCATACTTTTAGTTTCATAATACATATTGTGAAAGTAATGTCATGATTGCGATTGAGCTACAGAAGTCCGAACGGGGAGGTGGCAGGACCAGACGGAATTTCTCCCCGAAGCATTGAAAACGGACAGAGAGACTGTAGCAGAGGTGCTCACGCCATTATTGCAAAAAGTTTGGAAGGAAGGAAAGGTACCTACCTACCGATTGGAAGAAAGGCTGCTTTGTCAAGCTGCCAAATAAAGGGCGACTTAGGTCTCTTCAAGAACTGGCGTGGAATAATGCTCTTGTCCACGCCAAGTAGAATACTAAGTCGCATCATCCTGGAGAGAATAAAAGATTCACTGGATGCAGAACTTCAACAACCTGGAACAAGCTGGCTGGATTCAGGAAACGCAAATCATGTGCTGATTGAATTGCGACTCTACGCATCGTCATCGAACAAAGCATAGAATGCCAGTCAAACCTCTACCTCAACTTCGGAAGGGCCTTCGAGAGCGTTGACCGAGAAGTAATTTGGAAACTGCTTCAGCACTATGGCGTACCTCAAGTCTTTATCAACCTCATTCAACGGCTGCCTATATGACAATGCTACGTGTCAGGTGATCCACAACGGAAAACTCACTCAGCGAAGCGTTCGAAATGAATACAGGAGTAAGACAAGCTCACTGTCTGTCTATTATCACCGATGATATTCTTAATTGTGATGAACTGGATTATGGGTCAGACTGTGCATCGGGAGCGAGGAGACAGGAATACACTGAACCACCGATATGAGGATTCTTGAAGAGCTGGATTTCGCTTGTGGATGATTTGTGTTTTAATGTCACATAAACTCGAAGACTTACAGGCGAAAAGCAACAAACTGGCTGAAGAGGTGAGCAGCGAAGACAGGACTCCAGGTGAACATAGAGAAGATGGAGGTGATGAAGATAACCAACCAACAAGAACAACAACAAGCACCAGCACCAATCACCATCAAAGGGAGAGATTTAACAGAGGTTACTTCCTTCCTTCATGTATCCGCTTAGGAAGCACAGTTTCAACTACAAGCAGTCGGAACGGATGAAGATGTCAAAGCCAGCCAGAATCGGAAGGGCAAGATACTCCTTCAACAACCTGAAACCAGTTTGGAAATCTGCACTCAGCCAGCATGAACAACAAGATTCGGATTCTATTCAACACAAATGTGAAGTCAGTCAGTTCTTCTATACGGGTCAGAAACTTGCACTGCGTGTCAGTCACGAAAAGGATTTCCAACAGCCAGTTGCAGACTTTCATCAACAGCTGCCTTCTCTGACTCCATACTAAAGATCAAATGGCCAGTCAGAAATAATAAGTAACAAGAAACTGTGGGAACAAATCAAACCATAGCCGATCGCCCATCGCTCGAATGGGGAACCCGAATGGGAAGCGACGAGTAGGTCATCGGTGCGAGGGTGACATGGAGGAGATCGTTTGGCGAGGGGGAGGAGGAGATGAGAGATAATGGGCAATCTTGGACCCAGCTAAGGAGGAAGGCAGAAAATAGAATAAAGTGGAGATGTGTTTTTGAAGCTCCGCATTCCGTTCGGAACCCAAGGGAATAATAATAATAATAACAACATCATTTCAGTCTTATTCTATAAAAACTTTGTTAGACATATACAGTTCATAGCTAACTGTAATATCTTTGTATTGATAAAAAAAAGTGAATAAATTTCACAGAGGAATCAATTCCAGTGTACTTTATATCCCCTTTCTTTATCAAGAAAAAGGAAAAGAAGACAAAACAATTGAATGATCATTTTTGATCGACATTTGTTTATGCCTATCAACAGACCAGTTATGCTTCAATGAATTAAATAAACTTACTTCCTCCTCCCCCCCACAGTCGCACTCCCAACTTTCTTTTTTCCCTCCATGAAACCGTATAATCTTTATCATTTTCAAAATTTACTTAACTCTTATGTTTTTATTGTTAAAAACTTGATTTTATTTGATTGAGTGCATATCCTCCGCCTCCTCATCGTATTCTTCTTCTTCCACTTGTTCGCCTTTTTTTCCCTCTCTTCTTCTTTGTTGGACTTTGGTCTTCTTTATTCCCCCTCTCCTTCTCTCTCTCTCGCTCTCTGCGTCTCATTCTCAAGAACTCGTTCAAGTGATTGAAGTCCTTGTATTTTGTTCTACATTTGATCTCCACTCATATAGATATATAGATATATATATATATCAATGATTATTCAAGCGCCTATGAAACGACTAAATTGAAATTTGCATGATTAACATTTTAATTTGAAAATTATTTTTCTTATTTCTGATTGATTTTGGGGCTTTAAACTTTGTGTGTTTGTGTGTGTGTACATATATCTGTGTGCAAGCTTCAATGATAAGTTGTTGTTGTTCCATCTTCCGTGTAGAGTATAATAATAATAATAATAATAATTGTAGTGGTAGTAGGAAAGAGTTCAAGAGTTCTATTGATGTTTGACTTATTTTTATTATTTTTCTATTCAATAGCACACTTATTAAAGACTTGTAAAGGGTTAGTTATCATTATCGAAGATAGTGGTTAACCTACTACTCGATAATTTTGGTTTTTTTCCTATCAAACTATATACTACTGTTGATTGATTGAGATGAGTAGTAGTTGTATATACTACTCATTATCAACCAGTAGTGCTTGCTTTAGCCAACCAGTCAGCCGGCAAGGGCCGTTTCGTTCGTTTGGGGTTGGTCGAGTCCATCGAGATTCAGTTCAGAAAACTGGATCAGTTGAAACCATCTGAATTCTGGTTAGCTACTTGTGTGTGAACTGGTAACATCTTAAGTCAAATTCGCAATTTACAAACTGATTATCAATTTGCAATGTACACAGCTGACGAGGAAGTGGGATTTCACCACAGATATAGTGAGTAGTACTGAGGTTAGGCGTCGAGTGTTAAGCAAAAGGAGGCAAGGTGAATTGGTGGTGAGTTGATGCAACTACATCGATTGAGATGGCTAGGGCGCGTGTTATACACACTATGCCATCGGATTCTTCTTCGACCAATGTTGGTTGATATATGATTAGATTGGAAAACAAGCTCTCTGACAGTTTGTTTAAGCTATGTATGGAGGGAGGTGTAGATTGGCTGGTTGGGGTGTTCGGAATACTCAGAATCAAAGACTGACTACGTATGCCTAGTCATCGCCTTCCTCGACTGACGGGCAATGTTAGCTGACATAGGGTCAGGCTGGAAAAGGGCTAACGGTGGTCAAATCAAAACGTGACACCAGTCAGTGAAATCCACAACAGTTAGTTTAAGCCACGTAAGAATGTGTAGACTGGCTTCCTGGTTGGGGTCCTTGCGATGGTAAAAACTAATGAAGGCGGGAGACAATCGGTGAAATGGCTCAAAATAGTTCTCAGTGATGGTGCAGGTGCATCCACTCCTTGTGACTTATAATTTCCAATTAAACTGTATTGTTCTTTGTTATTACTATTTCTTTTGTCTCATATCCCTGTTTACTGTCTCTGTTTCGCATTTCTTCTACTTTCTTCTCTTGCATTGTGTACTACGTGAATGGAGTGTGGCGACTTGAACTGCTGCACATCGGTGCAAAGTCCTATGTCGAAAACAGACAGACAGAATAAAAGCAGTTAGTGACTACTCATTTCAGTCAATCTAATTATATAACAGCCTGCTATTTGTTGATATTTCAGTAACAGGCTTCTTTCATGATAATAATTGTTTATAATTCGTATTTTTAATACTATGACAGTTCTATTGCCCTGTATATATTGTCTTCCAGTTGTCGTGTAGAAGGAGAATTGTTAAGCATAATATGATTTCATGTCCCTGGGGTTTATACACCCTTGTTGTAACGTTTATCAAGCAGAATATTTGAAGACAATTTTACCGCCGATGACATTAGCAGTGGCAGTGGCGCTATTATTATTATTATTATTGTTTCCTTTAATTCCTAGAGGATCATAGGGCTTCAGCCTTGCGTCTCCATTGCGTTCGGTTCTCTGCTATAGTCTTCACTTGGCTCCAAGTCTGCCCATACGTTTTCCTTTCCTCTTCACATGACCTCTCCCAAGTCACCCTTGCAGTGACGACCAACTCGCCGCTTCCCTTTCGGGTTCCACTCGAGCGATGGCTAGTCTAGTGATGTCACTTGATGGTTTCCTCAGAGTATGGCCAGTCCATCTCCATTTCTTCCTGCACATTTCTTGCACAACCGGTTCCTGGTTGGTTCGCTCTCAGAGATCTTTGTTGCTGATCTTTTCTGGCCATCTGATCTTGAGTATTGAGCGAAGACAAATGTTAATGAAGGTCTGTACTTTGTTTGAGGGGCTCTTTATGACCCGCTGGCCAAGTCTCTGATCCATCCGTATAGTAGCACTGACTTCACATTGGAGTTGAAAATCCGGATCTTATTTTTGATGCTGAATAGGGCTGTTGACCTGCACACAGACTTGAGAGTAGTGAAAGCTTGTCTTGCTTTTCCGATTCTTGCTTTGATATCCTCGTCAGTTCCGTTGGCCTGTAGTTGAGACGATGCTTCCCATGTTGGTAGGTAAAAGAGGCAGTGGCGCTATAGCAATCGTAAACTGGACAGAAGTTAAAATTCATAGGGCAGTCATTGTATTCCATCCCAGCGGCTGAATGGTCGACTAGCTAGCTCACTTTGTAACCTGAAGCTCCTGGGTTTGACCCTGTACCATACCAGTGGGATCATAGAGCTGTGTACTGCTGAAAAGTACCAAACCAAGGACGGGACGGCCGTCCCCAGTACTCCCTACTGGTTTTCAATGGTTTTCTCCATCTAATAATAATAATAATTTGCTTTATTCCAGAAACAGTACTTGTGGTACAATGTGGAATTTTCAGCACATATCTACAATATTTGCATCTAATTTTATCCAACGTTTAAAAGGAGTATTTTCAAGAAAAAAAATAAATATAAAGACAAACAACAGCAAAAAAACACACAAAAAACACAGAATGATTTTTAAAAAAATTCGAAAAAACACCAAGAAGTAGAAAGGAAAATAAACAGCATATAATAATATCTCAGTATTGGGTAGTGAAAGCTATGATGTGATTATGCATGGTGACAGTAAAGCTATAGTCATACAAGAAGTTTTGAAATGATATTTAAGAATGTTTCTCGCCAAGATGATCAGTTAATTTGGTTGAAACAAACTCTAAACAATCATAAAATAACATTTCAGGGTTGTTGTTTTGTTTTTTATTGTCAGGTCTAATGCAGTGTTTGTAGTGGTAGTGTGAGTGTAATCCTGCATAATACAAAATTTTAAGGTGGTGATAATGGCGTTCACAAACAATGATTGTCAGTTAATATCGCCGAAAAAAAAAATAAGAAAAAACAACCACAAAAACCAATAATTACATGATGGTTAATGACAGGACAATTTTGTAATACTCATAGTGCTAATATAGTCAGAACCAGTAGATACACAAAAGGAATACAGTACAGTACAAAAGTAAGCCAATGTTAATAATTTAGGTAGCTAAGTATGTTTAAGAAGGTTTCACTATAGAATACAAAATAAGAGAGGAATAAAAGAGCCTAAATTTATGTTATTAACAACAAAGCAATTCATAGGTTTCGCACTTAACATTGTCTCTGTCGCTTAGAAGTCGGCTGGTTCGTGAACATTCTTGAAATCAATCAACTCCCTGGAAACAACTACTTGAAAATAAAATATTTCTCTTTTTAAAAGACGGTTATTCATAGTACTGCTTCATGATTTTATCTTCCTCTTATATTGCATAACGATATATATATATATATATTATGAGTGATAGGTGGTATGCTGTGGCAAAATATTTATTCCCCCCTACAGTGTATGTGTTTGTGTGTTTGTGCGTGTGTGTAATGCTTATCAGATGATTTAATGGTTCACCTGATTATTTTGCTTAGCTACACAGAATTCTCTTTCACCACTTATAATACTGCTGTGCAAGTTCTGTTTTTTTGTTGTTTTGTTTTATAGGTGTTAAGAGTTTCTAAATTAGCAATTAAGTGTTAAGGCTGGTGATGATTATATGTTTATACATAAGTAGTATGTATGAAAATGTACATGTTTTGTAATTACAAATGTCAAATTGTGATTAGATGAAGCTTCACTTTTATATACGCTTTTATATGTATATATATATATATTATTATACATAGATTAAGGTTATAAATAGTTATGTTGTTGTTTTCTTCTTCTGATTGCATTTTAGTTAGTTGCTTACACACATTCGGTGTAGGTAAGAATAGATAGAGATGTGTAACCAGCTAGGCTAATCGTCTAATCATCATAGTGACTAGACCTGGTGATGATTATTTTTATTTTGTTCTATTCTATACAATGAACTTTAGGGGTGAAATGCAAAGTTCTCTATATTTCTTTATTGTATAATAAACATTCTTTGGGTAATATAGGTTATTTTCTTGATGCTTAGCGTCTGAAATGTATTCATTTGTGACTCTATTTAAGAATGATACGTCTGTCTGAGTGTATGTGTCTGACACATGCTGAGGAGACTGTCGAATGACCTCGCGCACCAGGCCATCGCCCAGATGGAACCGGAATGGGGAACGATGAGTGGGGCGCCCAAGGGTGACATGGAGGAAGAGATAAGAGACTATCGGCAATCGTGAAGACAGCTGGTGAGGACCACAGAGAATACGACAGAGTGAAGACTCGGAACCTAAGGGAACAAGAATAATAATATGCCAGTGATCCAGAAGTAGAATGCTCGTGAACGGACACCTCGCATGGCTCAGATTCAATTCTTAGACGCACTTCTGAACCTTGTCGCCTAACTGGTAGTAGGCTCAATAAAGAGGGGAGGTTGGGTTTGAGACCGGCAACCATCATCAGCGGGAACGTAAATAATAAAGACAAAACTAGGACGAAACAGCTGTCCAGTACTCCCCGCTGGCTTTCCAATGGTTGTCTAACTAATGTCAGCTCATGATGAAATCCTGTAACCAATCAATCAAATCCCTACAAACCAATACGTGAATATCAATGAGATGCTCACTGGCGACTGGCCCTATTCAGGTAGATAGTTACCTGGGGTTCCAGTGGGAAGTCGTGACCAGTAGGGTGCAGCAGGTTGGTTGTGAGGACAAATACTCGCCGAAGACATTGGCTAGCGGTTGCGCTATATCGTGAATTGGCAGAAGTTCGAATTCATGGACTGGCCATTGGATTGGGTGGGTCCCAGTAAGTGGCTTAATGGTCTACGAGCTCGGTCGCCTTGTAACCAGAAGGTCCTGGGTTTGAACCCTGTCGGTGGGTGTGTACTGATGAAGAGTCGTGAACTAGGACGAAACCAAATCTCTACAAACCAATACTTGAAAGACAAAATTTTTTGAATGTGAAAGATAACTGTACGTAAAACCATAATATGTAAACTAGCTGTTCCTATTCGAATCTCTACTATGTTTACACTCCTTATTATTATGTACAATTCTTTTTTGTTTTTCTATATACTTTCAGGTTATATCAATAACTGAAGAAATGCTGGACTCAGCCTTAGTAATTCGTATTACAAATCTACTGCCTAATTTATTTTATATGGAAAATTATAATACCTTATTACAAAAACACTTATCCAGTCTATTGTTAGACTCAAGATTATCACAATTCTCATCGGCGAATTCACCTACACCTGGACAAAATTCATCTCAAGATAATGTTTACATCCTGTCTGTACAAGAAACAGACTTTCCAAATGGTCTTTCCTCATCCACCTTGTTATCTTCATTATATCATGAAAGCAGATATACTACGCATCAACGTCGTAATAAACGTAGTCTTGATAGAGCAGTTGATATTCTTGTTGCTGTATATGATCCTAAAGAAAGAGAGTATATCAAGCCAAATAAAATTGCTCAAGCTGTTAATGGAATAGCTGATCGTTTAGCTGTTGAATTCGGTGGAGAGATTGAAGCTATTCATGATGTTTGTACTCCACAGGTTAGTTTGTTTGTTTTCTCACTTCTAATTATTTAGCCTGTTTTTATGGGTTATATTGAATTTTATGACCTAGACACTTTGTGCTTGATTTTAGATGGTTTCGTGGCACTCTTCAGCAGGGCATATTTGCCATTCGTAAAGGAAGTGATCTCCAGCCTCTGAAATTTGAATCTATATCATTCAGTGCTGCAGTTAGAGACGTTATCATTGAGTTATTCGGGTTTGAACAACCTGAGGAGGTGGTTACAGACATATCTTGCTGATATCTGACAACTGACAACGTTAGGCACGAAATCTAAGTTCAGTGCTTCCTGTTGATTGCCTTCAGCTGTTCAATATCAATTTAAAGTGCATCGGAATGGTGAGTCACCTTTCTGGGTGACTAGTGTAACGAAAAAGAGGAGTACACAAATAAATACATTTCTGGCTCTTTAGGCCAGTCACTCTCTATTGATTTGATCAGTCAGCCTAATTCTTTCCTAAATATGATCTCAATGAATAGGCCACGGGTTCAAATCTCACCTTCAACCTACCTCAACTCGGGGAAGTGCGTAGTAGTGTGGTGAGAGCTGGCTGCTAGCCAAAGTTGGTAGACAGTAATTGACGTCAATGTTTATGTCCCCAATATTGGTGGTGAGAAAATGAGGACAAAGGCTTTGCGTAGGCAGATGCAGTTAGCATATGGATGATCTGAAACAGCCACATGAAAGATTAACTTTCAGTGAGAAACAACCAATCAGAAGACTGTTTGTTTGCTTAAATAATGAAAATATATAAATATGTGTTGATTTCTTTAATAAACGATCTGCTGCCCGGCCTTTGTCTTCTGTTGTGACAGTAGCGGTGCATCAGTCATCAGCCCTCACACACGCACACATACACATACACGAAAAGTGTGTAGCTCAGTAGCCCGGTATATAACAAAATCTGTTCCAGGTTGTTGTGCTTAAATAAAACAAAAACGATTATAAAACAGCAAATCAATATCCTTTAAAGATGATTTCTGAATGGGAACTGGCAAGTCGGCCGTTGGTCTAAGGGCTACAACTGGTGGAGATAAAAGCCTACAGGCGATTGTCAAGCCAGTTAAAAATTAGGACTGTGAGTAGCCCTATGCTCTACTTGAATGTAAACTATGGGAACAGTTATAATACAAATTATACGTCAGCAAACCAGCTGGTCACTTCATCGTCTTGAAAAAAATATACAATTATGACACAAAAACAACGCCGTTGGTTATGCTGTTGGTGACTGTGGGGGCCGTGGTGTCGGTGTGTATCTTTTGTTGTTCTCTCAATTCCCTTTCGTTATGAAAACTTTCAAATGACCTGTTTGGACGAAAAAAAACCCATCTTTATTAGCCGTGGAATCATGATTTATGCATGCATTAGCATGATAACCTGATTGGTTAGCCTTTGATTCGTTTATTTTCGGCTTGAACTTCTGAGGATTTACGATATCAATACTAACAATCAGATTTCTTTATTTATCTATCCATAGCTTCAACTCCTGATGTTGTATGAATTACATATACCACGTATTTTGAATAATAAAATATTGTCTCAGTTGAATCTAACCTCTGTGTCTATCTCATTAATGTGGGGGGGGGGGCGATATTTCCAAGTGGTCAGTTGGTTATATAGTGTTGTGTCTGGAGGCGCATAGTGGTCAAGTTAGACAACCTCAGTAACACTCCGTATTCGAGCTAAAAGATAGGTGTCCTCGTCTTCATCACATCACATCACATTGCATCATATCACATCTAATAAAAAGCATTGACACACAGTCATTACTACTACTACTATTATTATCATGATGATTGTTCATCATTTTTATGGTTTCTTGTCTAATGTGACAAACAGCGGGCAATGAGGAAACAGGCATAAAATGGACTCACACAAAAAGCTTGCAGGATATGGACTTCACCGATGATATATGTCTGATTTCCCACAGACTGGAAGATATGCAAGCGAAAAGCAACAAGTTGGCAGAAGAAGCATTCAAAGAAGATAGGACTTCAGGTGAACATAGAGAAGAAAGAGGTGATGAAGAGTCCTGGGCAACACCACCAACAGCAACAACAACAACAGACAACAATCAGCATAAATGGAAGGAACCTGAAAGAAACAGTCTCTTTTACCTACCCACCTTGGAAGCATCGTTTCAACTGCAGGCGGAACTGACGAGGATAACAAAGCAAGAATCGGAAAAGCAAGACAAGCTTTCACTACTCTCAAGTCTGTGTGGAGGTCAACAGCACTCAGCATCAAAAATAAGATCCGTATTTTCAACTCCAATGTGAAGCCAGTGCTACTATACAGATCAGAGACTTGCACTGCGCGTCATAAAGAGCATCTCAAACAAACTACAGACCTTCGTCAATAGCTGTCTCCGCTCAATACTACTCAAGATCGGATGGCCAGAAAAGATCAGCAACAGAGATCTCTGGGAGGGAACCAACCCAGAAGGAACCGATTGTGAAACAAGTAGGCAGGAAGAAATGGAGATGGATTGGCTGGCCATACTCTGAGGAAACCATCAAGTGACATCACTAGACAAGCCATGACTCGAGTGGAACCCGAAAGGGAAGCGGCGAGTTGGTCGTCAGTGAGAGGGTGACTTGGAGGAGGTCATGTGAAGAGGAGATGAAAACGTGTGGGTAGACTTGGAGCCAGGTGAAGACTCTAGCAGAGAACCGAACGCAATGGAGACGCACGGCTGAAGTCCTATGTTCCTCTAGGAATTAAAGGAAACAATAATAATAATTCATCATTTTTTTGGTTTCTTGTCTAACTAAGATGAAATTTGTGTTTGTTTTTTTCAAGCATTATTTCATCGCGATACATACATACATACACTTATTATTAGGTGTAAATCCAAGGTGGTATTGTCTTTTCTTCTGTCGACTGATTCATCTTTGTTGTCATAGTCTCTCGTGTCATGTCTTATAGACACGGAAAATAAATGGAATGAAAAAGTCTGGTCTGGTCTGAATCACCAATGTCTTGTGTAATAATTACAGTCTATAATTATAATTATTATTATTATAATTCTTGAATCTGAAAATGTATTCATCATCGTCACATCACTCTCTGTCTGTGTCTGTATTGTGCTGTTGTGTTGTTTGCGTGTGTGCGTGTGTGTAGGTTTTGTGAAAAGTATCAAGCTTACTCTGGCTGAGTTCTTGTATAAAATTTAGACAAATAAAGATGTATGCAGAAGACTCTGAGAAATTATAATTTGCTTTGATTGACCAAATAAAACGGTAGTTTTTTTAATTTGACACTAGTAACTAGAGTGATGCGTCTGGTCTTCTCTTTCGTGCAGACTGAATTCTGTCAGTCAGGTTGTAATGTGGCCACCATTCTAGGTAGCTCGCCATCACGGTGTACATAGTTTGTGATGATATTAGGTGGTTGGAGGCAATCGGCACTGGGTGACGCGGGTTCGAATCTCAGAAGGGAAATGAGTTCCTTCAAGGTTGCAGATACGCCTTGCTGACGAGTGCCAACTAGCACGCAACCTAGGTCCAAGGCTTCCTGTGGCCGATTACCTCCAACCATCTAATATCATCTAAAACGATAGTGTTTGACAGATCTGTTAAGAAATCACATAGTATAGTGTGTGTGTTTAGATTATAGGTTGGTTTCTCGAAGGGATTTGAATTAATTAATTAACTAATTAACATATTAGTTATAGAGAGAGAAATCATTGAAAGCCAACCAGCTGGGATCACTGGACAGCTGTTTCGTCCTAGATTGGGGCTCTTCATCAGTGCACACCAACAACCTCACCACTAGGAATCGAACCTGGGGCCTTCAAGTTACCAGACCAAGGTCGTTTATTGACCATTCTACCATTTGGACCGGGCTCGTGAATTCTTCCCTCAACCAGTACCTTCTTTGAGCCTTCACTCCACCTTGACATGGGTTCGACTCTTGGTAGAGGAGGGGATCACGGGTACTTACCGATGAAGAACCCTAAACTAAAATGTGAACAGCCGTCCAGTCCTCCTCAGTTTTGAAGGATCTCTCACTGACATAGAAATTAATCCTGTTCCCTAGAAATTTTGTATTCTAAATAAAACTAGTATGATGAAAACAAAAACTAAAATAGGAAAACGTAATTTTTTTATATGAATCGTGTTTTTGTATGTGTTTACGCAATACATTTCGAACAATCTGATGATGGTGATGATAACACACGTACATGTTATAAGGACTTTATATTGAAAAATAACAAAGTGTTAACGAGTGATAGAATAGATATACATCTAGATGAGAGGCTATCCTGAAGGGCAAAATAACACTGAAGATATTGGTAAACCAAAGAAGGAAGATATATATTAGTACATCTCTCCTGGTATCAAAACAAAGTTTATCAAGGAAGGTGATAAGAAATTGTTTTTTTGAAAACATAATAGTGATGTAAACTTTCTAATCACTAGGGCTTCCAAAAGCTGTGAGATGTTCTTGCCCCCCCCCGCTCTTCCAATGCATAAACATCAATTTTACACCCTGTATCTGTAATATATTTCTTAGTGATACAGCTAAGTCGTTTGTTTTCACCATCAATAGGTTATGGGGTTGGGGGGGGAGAGATACGGTTTGCTTATGTGTGATCAGATTGTTCCAGAGTGTGTTGCGTAAATACTGCATTACACGATTCAGAAAAACGTTACGTCTTCTTAGTATTTAATCTAAATGTATAAAGGGAACTGGTCGTTATAAAACTATTATATTTTTAATCCATTTGCGACCGGGGATCGAACTCCGGGCCGCATGAGGCGTAGTTGGCGAGTATTCTATCACCTCACGTATTATATAATAATAATGTTAATAATCCACTTTGTATATCTTATTATATTCTCTCTTTCAGTTCTGTCCTCGTGGTCGATGTCATACAAAAGTTACAATTGATCCAGACGGTGTAATGAATCGTGTTGAAGTACATCGGGTTAATCAAGTCTCACCTCGATTTCTCCTATCACCTGTTTGTCAATGTCCAATGCATTTTACTGGTGTTCTGTGTAACACTCCAATAGATGCTTGTGCTATGGCCAATTGTCCTGCTTCACGCGTATGTGTACCACACGGTTTGAATGATTATACGTGTATATGTCCACCACCTCGTACAGGTCCTAATTGTGAATCACTTTTAATATACAATGATAAGGATAACTGTCATTCAGAGGCTTGTTTCAATCAAAGAGGTAAGAAATATGTCCTATTTTATTGTGTGTGTGTTTTTTCACTTACCTATCTATCAGAAAAAAAGAGATTCAGAAGAACCATAAGGACCAGAAGTGTTCGGGAGAAAGGAAGAATAGTCACGTGAAAACACATGAAGGTTTAATGGATACAGGAGAGCACAAAGAGTGGATTCGTCTTCACCATTGAGAGCAACTTTAAGCTACGCCATCACTATAGTTCCCAGTCTTCGGTTCTCAGCCTCCCCCAAAAGAAACTCCAAGATGGTAGTCTACACCTCCCTATGTGACTGGCTGACGGACTGAAGCTAGATTTTGATCTGATCACCCCTAACTCTTTTCCAACTCAACGCCATGTTAGCTGATATTGCTCCTCGAGTAAGGCTGTGGATCAGCATGCGTAACACGTGTCCTAGCCGTCTCAAGATATACAGCTTCATAACCTCATCCGTCGACTTACCCTACCTACCTACCTATATAACACTCTACTCCTAATCTCAATACTGCCTACCGAAAAAATCCCTAACTTTCTTTACAGTCTGTGTTATAACGGAGTGTTGTTGATTTGTAGTTGTCGTCTGACTTTTGACTAGAATGCGCTTCCAGACACGAAACTACAACCAACTGATCAATTGAAAATATTTGCCCCCCCCCCAGGCTGAGTTAAAGACAAAAGTCAGATGTAACTGTGACAACAGTGACAGTGTTATATTATTCAAAATTCGAAGTACATATGGTTTGCAAAACCTCCGGAACTCAAACCATAAATAAATAAACAACTCTGATTGGTTGTGTTGACATCCCAAATCCTCAGAAATTCAAGCCAAAAATTAGCCAATTAAAAATCGTCCAATCAGATTATCATGCCAGTGGATGCATAAATCATGATTTCATGGCTAACAGCGATAGGTTATCCATTATCCTTACAGTCTACCTAGCTTACCATTGATGCATAAAAGTCGTTTTGTCATAATAAAATTGATTTTTTTAAAATGTAAAACACAGAACCAAACCTACTGTTACTTATTTGAAATAATGTTTGCATTGGTATATCTACTAATCGCATTCTTAATCATCTTACAAGTTTATTATACAGTTGAACGATTGATTCGTCGAGTTAAATACTACTAATTCCCATCAGTAATACATAATTGTCGATATAAGGAATAAAAACATCATTTATTGAAAGCTATTACAATCTTGCGTAGTCATTTGTTCAGTTGTGTATTCACACAGTGTGTATCTTGTCTGGGGTATTACAGTCACATTTAGATTTATCATTTATTTGTGGGTTTTCACTCATCTCTAGGCTTATGACTGTTTTTGTATCTACCCAGTAGGGAAAATGCAACTCAGAATGTTTCTTTCAGTAGTACTTTTCATTTCCTATTTTTCTTGGAAGTCAAAACTTTTACATCTCCATTTTATCCTGTTCTCTGGAGTCCTCTTTAGCTGGTTCCGCAATTGCCTATAGGCCTTCATCTCTTTCTCATACGATCTACTCCATGTCACCCTCAGACGCCCGATTGGTCGTTTACCATTCCGGTCTCACTCTAGCGATGGCCTGTCGTGTAATGTCACTCAGTAGTCTCCTCATCGTGTATCCGATCCATCTCCATTCTCTTCAGAATCTTTTCGCTAATCCTTCCCGACAGGTTTTCTGATCTTTAGTATGGAGCTAAGGGTACATCTGTTGATAAAAGTCTGCAACAGGCTGTTGGAATTGCTTTTCGTGACGTGTGTGCCAAGTTTCTGGCCCTTCAAAAAGAACTGACTTAATCGTATAGAGAATATGTATTCGCTGACCACAAATGTGATCCTGGGTTCGACTGCGGGCCAACAGACGCACTCCTAAACCTCGCTTCCTAGCCGGTAGTAAGGCTTGTAAAGCGGGAAGGTTGGGTGTAAAAGCAACATCGCTGCTATTGTAACTTCGAAGCTCAAGCTTTTGAGGCCTAATATTCCACTTGGAGCGCAAAGGAAAGAGAAAAGGAAGTAAAATATGAGGTTGATGATGTTGACTACTCACGTGGCATACGTAAAATTTACAAGTTTTTTAGAGGGAATAATTATGTGATGTAATTAACCGTGAATGTTTTTGGATCATTGGTGTTGCTACTCAACTCCGAGTTACTCCGAACCAAACACTCAATAGTATCATAATATTTCGTATACTAAACGTGTAGTTCCTTAGCTCAGTGTGTAAGGATATCGATAGTTATTGAAATCTTGGCAAATTTTAATATTATTCAAGCCATCTTGCTGAAAAAGAATTCTTTGGTCATGCTGTATGCAATAAGGTTGCATCTGGTGCTTTCTAGTGACGGGCTACAGGAAGCAGTTGCTTGGAGTTCTAGTGAGAAATCGTGACTAGTGGGGTCCATCAGGTTGGGAGTGAGGACAGATACTCACTGATGATACTGACTGGTTCCAGTCGCGTTAAAACCACGAGTCGGTAAAGGTTAGGATTCATTAGTCATTAAATCAAGTCCCAATGGCTTACTTTGTAACCGGGCTGGAACTTTGGCGGTGGGTGGATACTGCTGATGAGTCCCAAACTAGGATGAGACGGCTGTCCAGTATTCCCTGCTGTTTTTCAATGGTTCTTTAACTGACATTGATCCGTGATCAAATTTGAAGGAAATCAAATCCCTACAAACTAACTCCTAAAAATTGGTATCTTTTGTTTAAAATTTGGTTGTACCTGTATTACTATACTTCTCTTTATTTTCGTTTTATTTTTAGAAAATGGACCGTTACAATTTACAGGTGGCTCTTTTATTCAATGGGAATTTTTAAATCCAAATCCATTTTATTTTGAGTTGAAATTCGCCTTTCGAACTCGACAAACTAATGAACCATTGGCGTTTATACGTTGGTCATCCCTGCGAACATTTCAATTGAGACTGACAAACAATGGACATTTAGTTATCTCTTCGATTGGTTTATCCAATGGTCTTCCGCTGAATGATTGGTTAATGTCTAATGAAGCATTTACTGATGGTCATTGGCATCGTGTACGATTTGTTCTAACTGCTTTAGATTCTAGTGCAGTTATGCCAAATGATGCTTTGTTTTATAATTCACTATTTCAAGGTAATTTAATACTATTAGTATGTGTACTTTTTAAACTAACGTCATAACAGCGAAAATGCTTTGCTGAACGTTACAGTCTGTCTTTTGAATGTGTCATTTGAATCATCTTATGATATGTCTATGTCTAGATGTCACAAAAACTCGAAGATCTAGAGGTGAAGATCAATAGTTAGGTAGGTAGAAGTACCGAAGATAGAACTTCAGGTTAACGTGGAGAAGACAGCTGATGAAGATACCAAACTGACAAAAACAAGCACTCTAGTCACCGTCAGTGGGAGAAATTTGAAGGAGGTCACTCCTTTCACTTATCTAGGTAGCATCATTTCAACTACAGGCAGTGGTATAGATGAAGATGTCAAAGCCAGTCAGGATCGAAAAGGCGGGACCGATCTCTATTACTCTGAAATCAGTGCGAACACCATTTGGGTTTTGAATATTAATGTCAAGTCAGTCATTGCTTGAAGTGTGCTTCACCAAAAGCATTTCCAACAGACTAATTCAAACTTTACTGGCTTGATACTGAAGATCAGATGGGCGGCTGGCCAGAGGAGGGACTAGCAAACAACTTGGAACTCTGGAAACGCACTAATCAAGAACATATTGCCCAACATATATGTAGAAGGAAATGGAGATGGCTTGGAAACAAGCTGAGGAGACTGTCGAGTGACATCACGTCCAAGGCAGGCCCTCGAGTGGCACCCGAATAGGAGACGATGAGTTTGACACGAATCCGATGGTGATATATATGGAGGAGATCGTGTAAGGCAGAAGAGATGAAAGCTTATGGGCAATCGTGGAGCCAGCTAAAAATGAGCGAGATGGAGATGTGCTATTGATGCCCTATATATTATTATTATTATTCCCTTGGGTTCCGAGTGGAACATACGGCTTCAACAACACATCTCCACTTTCTTCTATTTTCTGCCGTCCTCTTCAGCTGGCTGACTCCACGATTGCCCATAATCTCTCATCTCCTCCCCCTCGCCAAACGATCTCCTCCATGTCACCCTTGCACCGACGACCCACTCGTCGCTTCCCATTCGGATTCCCTTCGAGTGATGACCTGCATTGCGCGCGATGTCATTCGACGGTTGTTGAGCGATCGGCTCTTGCTTGTTGGTTTGTTGCCAGCCAGAGTTTCTTGTTACTAATTCTTTCTGATCGGATATTTGATTTTCAATATGGAGCTAGGGAAGGGGACAGCTGTTGATAAAAGTCTGCAGTAGCTTGTTGGAAATCCTTTTCGTGACTGACACGCAGTGCAAGTTTCTCACCCTTAGAGAAGAACTGACTGACTTCACATTTGTGTTGAATAGAATCCGAATCTTGTTCTTTATGCTGGCTGACTGAGTGCAGAAGATTTCCAAACTGGTTTCAGGTTGATGAAGACGTATCTTGCCTTTCCGATTCTGGCTGGCTGGCTGGCTGGTCTCGACATCTTCATCCGTTCTGAATTCCTGTAGTTGAAACGATGCTTCCTAGATAAGTGAAGGAAGGAAGTAACCTCTGTTAAATCTCTCCCGTTGATGGTGATTGGTGCTGGTTGTTGTTGTTGTTCTGGTTAGTTGGTTATCTTTATCACCATCTTCTCTATGTTCACCTGGAGTCCTGTCTTCGCTGCTCGCCTCTTCAGCCAGTTTGTTGGTTTTCGCCTGTAAGTCTTCGAGTTTGTGCAAATCGACTTAGGAAGTCATTCGTTTAGATTACAGTTTTTCTTCAGTACTTTTCTACATTTTGTGATATAGTTATTTACAAGTCATGTGAGCAAGTTTTTTTCATTTAGTGTATAAGCTATGGTGTTACTTATACATTTTATCCAATCTTCTTTTTTCTCTCACTAAAGATCGTGATCTCATGCATTCAGAGATGAAATCAAATCCTTGGCAGTCTAGTTCCAATTGGTTAGCTGAGTTAACTGTCGATGGAATAAATCCTAAATCTGCATTAATTGAATGGAGTCCAGGTGATTCATATCAACAAGGAATTCTAGTTGGTGCTGATTTAGTTTATGGATTTCGTCCATTAAGTGAAGCTTATAAACTAACAGATGTAAATACAACACCTGAGAGTAGTAGTTCACTGTCGAATTCATCACAGGCAACACCGATTGTTTTTCGTTCTGGAATTGTTGGTAAGCAAATGGATGGGAATGTGTATTTTTTTTTCCTCAAGGAAATAGTTTTTTTTTAATAGATGTAATACAGTTAGTTGACTCCGAAATAGTTGCTTTTATCACTCACACTAACTGATATTCGCTAAATACGTCTATGAACGTAAACTAGCGGTCAAAAGGCGTGATTTCTGACTGACTGACTGACTAACTGGTTTCAACATAGAAGTTTGCACAGAATTGCTGCAGTTGGAGTTACCACATCCCCTCAATTTAGCACACAATGGAAGACAAAAGAGAGGAAAACGAGATTCGAAAGAACGATGACAAGCAGGAATGTTAGGAAGAAAGAATAGTAATAGTATGGCAGACCACAAAGAGGGAAATGGATCTACGCCATCACTAACCACGATTTTGAGCCATATCACTAATTGCCTCCAGTCATTGTTTCTTAGAATCCTGAGAACCCCAACCAAACAGTCTACAGCTACTGTCAAGGATTTCTTGGATTGATTCCTTGTTTTGGTTTGACCACCAGTAGCTCTTTTCCAACCTTATCCTATGTCAGCTAACATTGCTCGTCAAGGAAGGCGATCACTGCTAGACTTGCATAAGACATGACATACATTCAGTCATCTGCAATCCACGTGGAAAACTATGGACATCAGTTCAAATGGGGTAATATAAAAATCTTAGATAGAGGAAACATGAAAAATGCTAGGGAATTCTTAGAAGCCTTATGATAGTCAGATATGTGGAGACATGTTAAACCTGTCACTCAATAAAGAATAAGTCAGGCGTTCCAAAAGTCACATATCATCAGGTGTCAGCGAAACAGCTAATATCAATAATACGGGCTAAGACAGTGCTAAAAGAAAGTCTCCGTAGTCAACTATTCACAGTCAACGTTACCAGGAAAAATGGATATTTCACTCATTGGGGAGAATTCTACAATCTCATTTCACATTGAAGTTAGAACTAAAGATGTTATCTAGATGGATATATAATGCGTCGGTAGTTCAGTGGTGGAATGCTCTTCAACCATGCTTCAAGCGGTCTGGAGTCCGATCCCCATCCATCGGACGAGCTCCTTAACCTCACTGCCTAGCTGGTAGTAAGTCCGGCAAAAAGGGAAGGTTGGGCGTGAGGTTAGCATCCCTGCTCTACCCAAATAAACACCCCTGCTACTGAAACTTCAAAGCTGTCCCACTTAAGACGTAAAGGATTAAAATATAAAATAAATAATATAAAAGATGAGCGATGAAATCTTCAGAATTGAACTATTCAGCTGAGAAAATAGAAAATTAAATGTAGCCTTACTAGATATCGCTCATTTGGTTCTGTTCCGTAGACACTTGTAGGCGACTGCATGTATGTACGTACTTACGTACAGTGGCGTATCCACTAGTATGGTCATTAGATTCATAGATATCCCCGGATCATTGATAACTAAATATGGGGATTTTCAGTAAACACAGTTGATGCTTATGTTTTTAGTTGATTATAGAACATAGTCGGTCAGTCGGTCGTTCGGTCGGTTTTCGACGTAGAACTTTGCACAGATGTGCTGCAGTTCAAGTCGCCACACTCCATGTAGCACACAAAGGAAGAGAAGAAAGTATAAGAAATGCATAATAAAGATAGTAAACAGAGGTGTGAGACAAAGGTATAGTAATAACGAAGAATAAAACAGTTTAATTTGAAATCATAAGTCACAAGGAGTGGATGCATCTGCGCCACTGAGAACGACTTTGAGCCATGTCACCAATTGTTTCCAACCATTGGTTTTTACCGTCCCGAGGACCCCAACGAGGAAGTCTACATCTTCCTACGTGGCTTAGACTAACTGTCGTGGATTTCATTGATTGGTGCCATGTTTTGGTTTGACCGTTGCTAGCTCTTTTCCAGCCTGGCCCTATATCAGCTAACATTGCACGTCGAGGAAGGCGATGACTGGGCATACGTAGCACATGTCCTAACCATCTCAGTCGATGTATTTTCACAGCCTCGTCGATTGATTTCCCCTCCTTACCTGCCATTCGACCAACGCCTAACCTCAATATTGCTCACCTTATTATGCCACTTCACACGGGAGATAGAACGCAGACACCTATGATCAAAGACAGCTAATCTTTTTATGTCTTCTGCTCTGAATGGCCAGGTCTCACAGCCATAAAGGAGGAGGTGGGAGCGGACTGATGAGCAGTACACACGCCCTTTGGTTGACAGCCAGCTGGATATCACGTCGACGCCAGAGAAGGAGTAAACTGGCATATGCGAACGTAACCCTCTGTATTCGTGCTGAGATTTCGTCGGAGATCAACCCGCTGGGGCTGATGGTACTTCCCAAGTAAGTGAAGCGGTCAACGTGCTCTACCACTTCACTTCCTATTTCTAATCTAGGAGTTGGTGTAGTCCAATCCTGCAGCATCACCTTACATTTTACAGGGGTGAATCGCATGCCAAACATACGAAGATTGTTGCTCAAGGTGTTCAGTAGACTCTGCATTTTGTCAGCATCCTAGAACATAGTGTGACTACTAAGTAGGAGGATACAGTTGATATCATACTGCAGATGTAAGTTCCCTACTGGTTGAAGCTCATTCAGCTTGTTATCATTCACTCCTTACGTTCCAGCTGGAATTTCAGTGGCAGTGGCGTTGTGTTTAAGGAGCGGAGTTGCTAGCTTCACGCCCAACCTTTCCTCTTTCACCAGCTTACTGTCGGCTAGTAAATTGGGCGAGTTTAGGAGTTAGTCCGTCGCCAGCCGGGAATAGAACCTGGACAATGTGCAGTCGGTGGCGAGTATTCTACAGACTCTAAAATTTCCATTCATAACCTTTTAATAAAAACATCTTGTATTCAAAAGAATATTAACCATTTGATTTTTTTTACAAACATTTTTATTTCAGGTTGTTTCCGTGATATCAGTGTGAACAGTATTAAACCGCCTTATCAAGTTAATCTTGTCCCTGAACAGACTAAATCTGTTCTTGGCTTATCCTCAAATCCTTTCTTATTGATTGTACGAACACAGAAACTGGAGTATGGTTGTCAGCCTATAGCTACAATATCTGGATCTTGTGCATCTGGTCCATGTTTACACGGGGGAACTTGTGTAACTGGTACAAAACAATCACTCGGGGGTGGTGGTGGTAGCGGAAGTGGTAGTTCAGCCTATGCATGTGACTGCCCTTCATTATTTCATGGAAGACATTGTGAAAGGACGAGTGATGCTTGTTTACTTGCTCCGTGCTACAATGGTGGAACGTAAGTAGTGTATACTTTTGGAAGACATTTTTGTTCGATATAGAAAGGAAGACCAGATTTGCAGTATAAAATGATATCATCATTCTATTTCACAGGTTCTCATCAGCTGCACACCCCTACCTGAAATTACAATGGTTATATAGATGATAATAACATACTTTAATATTTAAGTGGTAGTAGAGAGGAAATACTATAAAATTGACGCATCCAGAATGTAAGCATTACAATTTTTAATTTAAGTTTTCATCATCAATTTATACGCTTTCAAAGTAGAAAAGAGGGGGGAGGGGTAACAGTGTTAGCTTGTAGGTTCACATAGCAACTCAAAAAACAGAAGAGGTTACAGTTTATAAGATTGAGATTTGTTCAGTGAGTTGAGATCACTGAATTAGATGACTAATTAATGTAATCAAACTCAAAATTCAGTTACCAAGGGAGTGAGAGGTTAATCACACTCTCTTTCTGTATGCATAAGTCTGATTTGAATCGTTTGATTGCGATCGCTTCGGCAAGTCGTAGTAAATTTGCTGTCCTTTGTCTATTTAATATTTTGAAGGACTTGGAAATGTCTACGAGATGTCCGGTATCAACAATATGTCTGGTAATTGCACTCTGAGAATATTTGCTTCCTTTCAGGCACAGGTTTCTTGGAATATGTTCAGAAATCCGGATAGAAGCCTTTCTTTCCGTCCTTCCAATGTACTTGCTCCCGCAAGTGCACGTAAATTCATAAACGCAGTTGGAGGTGACATCAGCAGGGTATTTATCCAGTTTCGAGTGGCTTATAGAAGTAGTGGTGCTGTATAATGTTATGAGTTTAGCTGGCGGGAAGCTTCTTTTTATTGCACCCTTCAGTCTTTTGTCAATCTTTTGTGACACTGCATCTCCTTTGACTAGGAGGGAGACAAATAAACACTTTCTTCTTTTCTACAGTTGGGTGTTTTTTGTTCATATTTCACTGCAACATAGTTTCAGCATAGAAGTTTGCACAGAAGTGCACCAGTTCAGCTTGTCACACTGTATGTATCACATAAAGGTAGAGAAAATAGAGAAGGCAATTCTAAAGAACTATTATGACCAGAAATGCACGGAAGAAAGAAAGAATAGTAACATGGGAACACATGAGGGCTTAATGGAAGCAGGAGATTACAAAGAGTGAATGTATCTCCGGCATTGAGAATGATTTTGAGCCATATCATCAACAGTCTCCAGTCATTGACTGACAAAGGGTTCTGACGTTATAAATACTTTCTTTTTATTCCTTCACGTTCCCAGTGGAACATAGGGCTTCAAGGTAGAGGCTTGAAGTTTCGCTAGCAGTGGCGTCTATTTTTATGGGATGGGGTTGCTAGCCTCATGCCCAACTTTCCCTCTTTACCAGTCTTATTGCTGGCTTAGCGAGGTGTGGGAGTGCGTCAGTGGCCGGGGATCGAACCCCGGACCACATGTGTGGTTGGCGAGCATTCTACCGCTGTGCCACCGACGCGACATTATAAATACTGCTGCAATTCTAAGTTGATAACGTGGTTTTAAGAGACTATCTGAAGTGTTTTTCTCCATCTCACCACTATTAGTGGCCTCAGAGTGGAATAGTATTGACAGAAGGCGAAAAGCAAGACGATGAAAGTGATTGAGGTGAAGTGGAGAAAGCTTTATGTGCATAGTGGTAGTTGATTTCTTCCTTGGGGTACCTGAAAGAGAAGGAGTATTAGTGTTGCATGACCACAGAGCCTATAGGGGACAGCTGCTCATGGCATGTTTGAAGTGAATTTTGAATTTGCGTCCCTATGAAGATCTTAATGCTGGCTACGAGATTTCCGCATGTTAAGTCAGGATGTGCGAATTTCGGGGTTGACCCTATCTGCCCCACCTACCCATATCCAAAGTGGAGAGGCATAGCTGGCTTACTACGTAGCCATCTGAGGGGAACACCTTACTGCTGTTACATCCCCGTATTCGCCAGTGGTACGATTTTGCCCACTGACCCCCAACATAATGATGGGTTGGATCAAAAACATCGGTTCTCAATATGTTTTGCACAGAAATGGGATCTTTATATTATTTCATTTTAATAATAATTGACTGTTAGTCAGTAAGATCCTCCACAGTTTTCATTCTAGTTTCGTTTTTTTGCACTTGTTCATTTTACTCTAGTTGTCAAACTTTAATAACATCGAGTGTATCCAAAGCACCGTCTCATTCTGGTCTGGCTGCTTATCGATGTATTTGTCCAGCTGGTCTATCGGGTTTACACTGTGAAATTGTTCATCCTGAAATTATATCGCAGACTTCTTCTGTTTCTTCGCCATCATCATCACATCGTCGTCGTCGAGTCAGTTAACAGATAAACGTGATTCAACAATGAAAACTAATGTCGCCTGTCATACTGCACAGTTAATACTTCAACAACGGCAACAGCAACAACAACAAAATATGCTGAATAAACTGCAACATACTACTGCCAATTCAAATTACCGTTATGCCTTCGCTTTGCCTTCTTCATCGAATATAAATCATGATTCTAAAAACAAATTGATGGTTTGTCTACATGGTGGTTCATGTCAGGATTCACCGAGTGGTCCTCAATGTGTTTGTCCTGCTGGTTGGCAAGGTGCACGTTGTGAACATGATGTTGATGAATGTCGTGTAGTGAAAAGTGTTTATGCAGGTCAGCTGCATGAATCAACAACCTCATATCCATATATGAAATGGTTAGAAAATCGTGCCAGTCCTAATGGTGGTTTATGCAGTCCATATAGTCCTGGAAGAGGTGTATGCTTTAATACACCTGGTTCATATAAGTGTAACTGTTCTATTGGCTTCTCTGGTCAACATTGTCAGTCGAAGGTATGCCTAACTTTTTTCAGATTTCTTTTTCATTAGTTATTTCATATGAAACTATACACACTAACTGTTTAGGCTGTTTGTCCTCATTTACTCATTCCTACCGGCGTCCAACAATCATTATATTTCTTGACCTAAAGGCGGCATTCGATTCTGTCGACCGAGAGGTTCTCTGGCGATGCTTGGCTGTAAAGGGAATGCCGAGAAAATACATTGCACTGATTAAGGCACCCTACTCGTACTCATGCAGCCAGGTGAGGGCTTACGGCGAGTTGTCATCTGAGCTGGTGACAACTAGTGGCGTCCGTCAAGGATGCCCATTATCCCCATTTCTATTCAACTTCATCATAGACGTACTAATGGACTTAACCCTAACTCACTTCAGAGACTCAAGGATTGACTTGTTACCAGGAAATAATCTCGTTGACTTAGAATATGCAGACGATATAGTCCTTCTAGGTGAATACGCTGACAAAATGCAAGTCTTCTGAACACTTTGAGCTGCAATCTACGAATGTTTGGCATGAGATTAGCTCTCCTCAAATAATAGATGATGCTACAGTATTGAACTACATTGACTCCTAACTTGGAGATAGGGAGTGAAGTGGTAGAGTACGCTGACCGCTTAACTAATTTGGGAGGTTGCATCAGCCAACGCCAGTGGGTTGATCTCTGAAGAAATCTCAGCACGAATACAGAGGGCTAGTTTTGCATATGCCAGTTTACACCGTCTCTGGCGTAGAAATGATATCCGACTGGCTATCGACCAAAGGGCGAGTGTACTGCTCAGCAGTCCGCTCCGTCCTCCTTTATAACCGAGACATGGCCATTGAGAGTGGAAGACATGTAAAGACTAGCTGTCTTTGATCACAGGTGTCTGCGTTCTATCTCCCGTGTGACGTGGTATGATAGGGTAAGCAATATTGAGGTTAGGCGTCGAGTGCTAGGTAAGGAGGGGAAATCAGTCGACAAGACTGTGAAATTACATCGAGTGAGATGGTTAGGGCATGTGTTACGTATACCTAGTAATCGCCTTCCTCGACGGGCAATGTTAGCTGATATAGGGTCAGGCTGGAAAAGAGCTAGCAGCGGTCAAACGAAAACATGGCACCAGTCAATGAAATCTACAACAGTTAGTCTAAGCCACGTAGGAAGGTGTAGACTGGCTTCCTGGTTGGGGTCCTCGGGACGGTAAAAACCAATGATTGGAAACAGTTGGTGACATGGCTCAAAATCGTTCTCAGTGATGGCGCAGATGCATCCACTCCTTGTGACTTATGATTTCCAATGAAGCTGTTTTGTTCTTCGTTATTACTATACCTTTGTCTCACACCTCTGTTTACTGTCTCTAATATGCATTTGTTCTACTTTCTTCTGTTGCTTTGTGTGGTACATGGAGTGTGGTGACTTGAACTGCCGCACATCTGTGCAAAGTTCTATGTCGAAAACCGACCGACCTCATTTACAAACTCTAATGAAATACACACTTATTTCACTGTCATTTGTAAAAATTCGTCGGCATAGATATTTTGAAGTTTGTGAAGACAATTAATTGTTCTCAAGTTGGATGACGAACTGTGATATCGGTTAGAGAACCATTGAAAACCAGGAGGGCTTATCAAGTTGAGTGTAAGGACAAATGCTCTCCCCGATGACTGACACTGACTGGCAGTTGTGCTATGTGTATCGCAATCGGCAGAAGTTGGAACGCATGAGTAAGCCATTGAATTTTATCTCAGTGGCTGAATGATCTGATCTATGAGCTCGCCTCGTAACCTGAAGGTTTTGAGCTTCATCTGGTCTTCCGTGGAATAACTGGTACGTACCCCTGAAGAGTCCCAGACAAGGACGAAACAGCTGTCCATTACTTCCTGCTGGTAGTCAATGGTTCTCTAACTGGTGTCAGTTAGAGATTTGACTTGAAATCAGTTAAATCGCTTCAAATCGTAATGACCGTTTGCATGAACTTAATTTTTTGGACGGTAAATTTTTATGTGCGGGAATCCAAATGTTTGATACGTGGGTCTTGCATATAGGTCTATATAGGGTGTAAGTACATAGAAAACCGCATCAGTCAACTATGAGAATTGTTAATTGTATAACGATCAATAAATATCGTATATCTTACACCTATTTCACGCCTTACGTGAAGACTTCTGATGTACCCGCAAGTTTTGTCGTCTGTACATCAGTTGGCAGTTGAAAGGGTTAGTGCTCATTATCTTGAGCTGTAATCAGACTAAAGATGAATATTGATTTCTAGACTAACTTTTCTATCAATCTACATTACTTTTAATAAATATCTCTCCATGCTTCTTTTTTTGTTTATTATAGAATCTAGTCCCATTGATTCCTGATACCAATCCTCTTGGTCTGAGTCAATTCCATATATACATCATTGTGGGCCTTCTAGCATTTCTCTTCTTAACTGCCCTAGCTACAATTGTATTATTGGCTTGTCGAGCTCGTGGAATGTTTGGTGGAACATTGGATGGTAGTCGACGATCTGTAAAATCTCCAGGTTCCTATTGGCCTAATGGTAATCATCAACAAACAAAACCGACAAGTCGATCTTCAGATCCTCGTCTAAATCGTCTGAATTATTCTGCTGGTGGAAGTTTATCCGGTGTTCCGTTTATAGCTGGTGCTAGTCCGGCGCATCCAGGTGGTCATGCTAGTCATATTGGTACACATCCTAGATATATGTTGTCTACTGGGCATCGTCGTCCTTCGTTAGCTTCATCAGCGTTTGGTTTTCCAGTCGCTATGGATGACAGTGCTACTGCCCTGTTGAATAGTAACTCAGGACATATGCCGTTTTCTTCAGAGAGTGTTAAACTTGGCGGAAATTGTAATACAGGTGCGACATTAGGTGATTACAGTGAGCATGATGATTCTGTTGCAACGTGCAATTCTGGTGTATTACTTTACCCCACAGCTGTTGGTGATCATCAAATGCCAGTGATGATGATGCTTTCACCCCTTCCTGGAACGCATGGATCAGTCGGTCCTGGTAGTCGGGCCAGTGTAATTGCACGCTATTCACCTGCCTCTTCAGTTATTTTCTATGGTCCAGGTGTACCGTCAGGTTCTGTAACACCTACTAATCAAATTCATTCGCCGCAACCTGGTTTCACTGTTGACCCATCTGGTTCTGGTTATATTCCACAACGTCAATGCTTCACAGGCTCTCAGGTAGCTCTATATCCAACAGGACATCCTGCTTTCTTACCTCATCCTCAGTCTCAACAACACCAACACCACCACCAACAACAACAACTTATTCAAATGGTAAACATGCGTCCAAATTCTGTAGTAGGCTCTGATCGTCTATCTCTCGGTTCAGGTAGTGATCGTTTCTCTGCGCATAGCAGTCAGGTTCTAGTACAACCGAACAGTACCTGTGCTATACCCTATCCATGTTGTCCTCAATCTCAAGCTGTAACACCGCAGCTATACTATCATCAGTCATCTGCAGCAGCAGCTGCAGCAGCTCAACATCATCGATCCTGGACTCCTAACATGTCAAGTAATGGACATATACAGCCTAATTACCTCATAATGAATCAAGCTCATGATGATGCTAATTTAGAAGAAGCATGTATGACACTGAGACCACAAAATACCGATCCTACCAAGACTAATGATACTAACAAATCTCAGTCGAATTGTGATGACACGCCTGTAGTATCATCTGATCAACCAGTTACTACGCACAATAGCAATAATAACAGTGAGACAGTCAAACCTCGACCAGTTCCAGTTAATCTTCAGCATACAACTAGTGCTTTTGTGCTACAACAGAGACAACACCCGGTTAGACAACAAAATAATAATCATATTTCTCCTGGTAAGTAAGTAATTAACGCTTAATTTAGGCGAATAATATTTCATAATTCTCCATTTACTGAATGCCTTACTTCCTGATCTGTTGTCTAACTGTCTCTTTTTTGTTTTTATTTCCCTTCCCTTTTTTTTATTTCTAATTAAAGCTTTCAATACTTTGCATGCTATGTATCCGTGTTGTATTTCATCAAATGCATGTTGTAAACCATCAGCACTGTCGCATAATAATCATAATAATAATGTTTTTCCAATGGTTAATCCATTTGCCCATTCATCATCAAGATATGCGTTGAACAGCTTTCTTCATCCCCGTGTACGTAAACCAACAACACCTGTTATTCACAATCCCTTTGCTGGAATCCCATCATTCACATATTCTCATCCATCAGTTCATTTAAACGCCATGCCAATCCCTGAGGATGCCTTACTCCTGAATAAATCAAATGTTGTTCAAAACTCAGAATCGTTATTTCATCTACCAGACTCCTCCTGTCCTACACTACACGATGATAACTATCCTCCAACTGAACTATCAGCTTGTTATTGGCCTTCAGCACAAAATATTTCCCTACCGATAAGAGATTCCCTCGGTGGATTACACCAATCATCGTTTGCAGCCGCTACTTCAGGATTATTGATGAAAAGACAATCAATGCTGGCTGCCAGCTCATCATCACGTGGAATAATGCATCATCGACCTCCGGTTGATGATGATAAAGCATTTCGTCGAACACTTCAATCTCGTGAAATTTTAAAGGCTGCTAGTGGTGGAACAGGCGGTCTACTACCGCCTCCTCCAGCATCTCGACCGCATTCAGCGCATTTATTAGGCTTAAAGATTATTACAACCGGTAAATTGACCAATGTTGCTGGTGGGGGGAATACTTCAAATCCGAAATATTCAGGTTTGTTAACAATTTTGAAAATATGAGTTCCACTCTGTTGCTGTGCCAGCTAAAGGTTGTTGTTTCTGTGTGTGTTGTGTGTGCTTAAATGTGTTACCATTCGCATGTGATGCTTGTTATATATAAATCTGTTTTTTAGTCCAGGTTTTCCTTCCTATTTCGGCATTTCACTATCGTGTGTATTTAATAAATTGTTTTGTTTTTTTTCTATTTCAAAATCTTCTCTTTAAGATGATGCTCAACCGAATTGTAAAGTTCGAAACAGTGCTGTAGGCGAAACTAATAATGGCTGCTGTATGAATGTGACATGGGCTAATGACAACAATTCATCTCGCAATCATAATATACAGAATAATACTACTACTATAAAGGATGAATCGAATGTTGTTGTAGCGTCATCAACTACTGGCAAGTCTAACACTACACAAAACACCACAAATGCTACAAATGGTAATAGTAATAATGGTAATAACAATCATAACAATAATGTTGTTATTCAAAATCGAATATCGAATAATAAATTAGATTGGTTTGGAAATGACAATTCAAATTATCATCCACTTTTACAAAATAATAATAATAATAATACTTCCAATTCATATGAATTAAATGGAAATCATAAAGACTGTCAGGTAGGTAATTACTTTAAGATTATTTATAAGTATACTTGAGAATTTTGAGATATATATATATATATGTATATAACAATGAGTTTTTCGTCGCATACTTTGACTTATGATTTTGTAAGTATCTTCTATGACTTTTCTTTTTTTTTTAAAAAACTGCATTTTGTCTTTCATATTTATAGGATTTGGATGAATTTGAATTGTTACAGAGAGAGAGAGAGACAGAGAGAAATGATTGAAAATCAGTAGGGAGTACTGGACAGCTGTTTCGTCCTATTTTGGGTCTCTTCAGAAGTGCGCGCACCCACGACCTCACTGCTAGGCATCGAACCTGGGAACTTCAGGTTATGAAACCAAGCTCATTCGTTGACTGTTCACTCACTTCGGCTAGGATTCTAACTTTCTCAGTTCGTGGTATAGCGTTACCCTCACAAATGTCTTTGATGAGCATTCACTTTGCACTTACATGTTGTAGCACCTAGCGGTTATGATCTCATCTTAAAGTATATATGTTCGAGGGATCATACTGCTGCCGAGTTAGACACATCGTCATCAAATCATCTTGTAAGTCAATCAAGTACTGATTGAATAACATAGAATAATTTTTATCTATTAGATGGTTGGAGGCAATCAGCCACAGGAAGCCTTGCTTGACCTAGGTTTCATGCTAGTCAGCACTCGTCATCGAGGCGTAACTGCAACCTTGAAGGGACTCATGTCCCTTCTGAGATTCGAACCTGTATCACCAAGTGCCGCAGTCAGAGACGTTACTACTGAGCTATTCGAGCTCGCGATTGACCTGCTGTAGGACTTTAGTGGGTACTTTGATTGGACACTAGTAACTAGTGTGATGTGTCTAGTCCTCTCTTTGGTGCAGACTGAATTCTATCAGTCAGGTTTGCAATGTGGCCACCATTCTAGGTAGCTCGCCATCACGGTGCACATTGATTTGATGATATTAGATGGTTGGAGACGATTGGCAGGAAGCCTTGCTTGACCTAAGTTTCGTGTTAGTTGGCACTCGTCGGTCTGCACCAAAGAAATGACTAGACACATCACACTAGTTACTAGTGTCCAGTCAAAATGTTTATCTTTATTAGATAAATGTGATGTTTGTTGAAGCAATAGGTTTCATTAGGTAGGTGTATGTAGTGTGTTTATAATTCATTTTTAACACAGCTATTGTCAAAATTGACGCACTGATTGAGTTCCAACGTAGAACTCTGTACAGAAGTACAGCAGTTCCAGTTGTCACACTACTTATAACACACAAACATGAAGAAAAGAGGGAAAAAGAGAATCAAAGGAACTATAATGAGCAGAAGTGTGCGGGAGAAAGAATAATTAGATGGGGGGAAACATGAAAACCCAATGGATCTGGGGGATTACAAAGATTGAATGCATCTTTGCCATTGCGAACGCCTTTTTGAGTTATATCACCGATGTTCACCAGCCATTGGTTGTTAGTATCCCGAGGATTTCGACCAGACAGTCCACACCTTGGTACGCGGCTGGTACATGTCAAGGACTTCACGGATTGATGGTGCGTTTCGATCTGACCAACCCATAAACGAAATGCATAATTTGCAAATTACTTCGGAATTTACACAGTTCGAGGTAATTATTTCACCACAGTTTCATGTAGCAACCGAAATTATTTAGATCCTAATATGTGATTTGCTTGATATCACAAACGGTACTTTTATTGGACACTAGTAACTAGTGTGATGTGTCTAGTTCTTTGTTTGGTCCAAACTGAATTCTGTCAGTCAGGTTTGTAATGTGGCCACCATTCTAGGTAGCTCGCCATCGCGGTGCACATTGATTTGTTCTGAGAAACGGACGTGAGTTCCTTCAAGGTTGCAGATACGCCTTGCTGACTGGTGAGTGCCAACTAGTACGAATCCCAGGTCATACAAGGCTTCCTTTGGCCGATTGCCTTCAACCATCTTCTTTTTCTTTACTCTTTTACGTTCCCAGTGAAACATAGGGCTTCAAGCTAGAGGCTCAAAGTTTCGGTAGCAGTGGTGTTTACTTTTACGGGATGGGGTTGCTAGCCTCATGCCCAACCTTCCCTCTTTGCCAGTTCTATTACTGGCTTAGCGAAGTGAAGGAGTGCGTCGGTGGCCGGGGATCGAACCCCGGACCATGTGCATGGTCGGCGGGCGTCATAACCGCTGTGCCACCGACGCCTTCAACCATCTAATTGCCTCTAACTTGTAAACTGCGAACTAATTTGCAAATTATGAATTTCACTTAGGGTATCACCATTTCGGCTGTTTTTGAGTTGATTCAAACCAGGTAACACTACTGATGAGCTCGGCCTCAAACGAGCGAAACGGACTTCCGGTGTTTATATGACTTCGATCTGGTTGGCAAGCACTACTGATTGATATAAGTGCTATCCAACTACTCATCTCAACCAACCTGTTTTCTAATTCAATCCCATTTCAGCCAACATTACTTATCGGAGAAGGTCGTAGATCGACATGCGTAACACGTGTGTGTGTGTCCTAGCCATTTCAATCGATGTAGCTTGACACCGTCATCGATTGACTCGCCTGGCCTTACCTAACACTACGCCTAACCACATTTTTACGCACCACTTAATACAGGAGATATATCGGAAACATCTATGTTCATAGAGAAGCTAATCTTTTCAAATCTCCTACTTTCAATGACCATATCTCACAGTCATAAAGAATGACTCTTTCTGTCTGTTTTCGACATAGAACTTTGCACACATGTGCGGCAGTTCAAGTCGCCACACTCCCCACATGTAGCACACAAAGCAAGACAAGAAAGTAGGAGAAATGCATAATATAGACAGTAAACAGAGGTGTGAGACAAAGGTATAGTAATAACGAATAACAAAACAGTTTCATTGGAAATTATAAGTCAAGATGAGCATCTGCGCCGGCCATTGAGAACGATTTTGAGCCATGTCACCAATTGTTTCCAACCATTGGTTTTTACCGTCCCGAGGACTCCAACCAGGAATTCTACACCTTCCTACGTGGCTTAGACTAACTGTTGTAGATTTCATTGACTGGTGCCATGTTTTAGTTTGACCGCCGCTATCTCTTTTCCAGCCTGACCCTATATCAGCTAACATTGCCTGTGAGGGAACGTAACACATGTCCTAACCATCTCAGTCGATGTAATTTCACAGCCTCGTCGATTGATTTCCCCTCCTTACCTAGCACTCGACGCCTAACCTGAATATTGCTCACCTTATTATACCACTTCACACGGGAGATAGAACGCAGACACCTATGATCAAAGACAGCTAGCCAGCCTTTTCATGTCTTCCACTCTCAATGGCCAGGTCTCACAGCCATAAAGGAGGACAGAACGGACTGTTGAGCAGTACACACACCCTTTGGTCGATAGCCAGCTGGATATCACGTCTACGCCAGAGACGGCGTAAACTGGCATATGCGAAACTAGCCCTCTGTATCCGTGCTGAGATTTCGTCAGAGATCAACCAGTGAAATATGAAATTAAACAATAATCTTTAGATAGCTCTCACTGTTTTTATTTCTTATTATTGTCGTAATAATACTCATCTGTGTATCTTCTTTTTCTTTCAGAATGTTTCATCAGAGACGACACCACAACAACAACAACACCACCACCAGTAGTAGCAGTCGCACAAAAGTCGCCAGCACCACTGACAAATGGACTGTCAACAGCAACAGCAACACCAACTCCACATGTTAAACAATTATCCTCTTCTGTAAATAATTCCTGTCATCATGATAGTAAAAGCATTTCAAGCATAGATGATTTATGATGCGAGTTGGTAGAGTGGGGGTAGGGGTGGAATGTCGTCTTCTTCCCCCCACCTTCTTTCCACTTCATTTATGTTTTTCTACTTGATGGTAGTAAGTGGTCTTTTATCACATATCATGATGTGATATATCATGAACCGATCAATCAATCAATCGATAAATCAATCAATCACTCAGTCAGTCAGTCAGTCTATAAATAATAATTATTGTTATTATCTCTTCAAATCTCACTTGAAACATTTTTTCTCCCGTTTCTGCACAAATAATGATGATCTTGCCTTGTGGGATATCTCTATTGGTTTTTATCTCCCCTCCTCTCTCCCTCTCTCTATCTTCATATTCCCTCTTGATATTATAATTATGTGTAATGTTGTATAAAAATATGTATATGCAAATTAGATTTGTGTAGAAAAGCAGCAGTAATAGCAGCAGCAGCGACATTAGGCTTTTTGTGATGATTATAAAGTCAAACACCACTCTACTACATAATACCGTTGTGATGAAGAATAGCGAATGATCTCCAGCCTTACTGTATTGAAATTGGTATTGGTAGGTAGGCAGGCAGACAGACAGGTGCGCACAAGTCTAATTTCTCAAGAGAAAAGAAAACAGAAGAGATTGCGGCGATTAATCATCTCTTCTCCGCCGTCGCCCCCCTCCCCCGCCGCTTTTTTTCCAGTCCTATATAAATAAAATCTACCTCGTCTACATATATATGTATAAAGTGTGTGGACTGTTTAATCGCCTCTTTCTCCAGCTCTCATCTATCTCTGCTCTTACTTATCTCCATTTATGTGTGTGTTCATATTCTAATGTGTGTATCTAAAGTGAGCTACTTATTACATAACTACTACTACTAACATCACTCTCTCTATATTATCACATTAAGAGCTTGTTTTTTTTACTGAGTACTTTCCTGTTTTGCTCTCTCTCTATCTCTCCCTCCCCCCCTTCCCACTCTCTACAGTGATGATTTATTCTCTTTTATGAAGATCTCAGACACACACACACACACAAATAGGCCAAAAAATTAGCACGCCTCTCTGGCATACCTAACTTTCATCAGTTGTCTCATATTATTATTATTATTATACTATTACAAAAACCAATATTATAATTAATTATCCTTTAGGCTTTCTGTATTTACTTACTTATAAATATATACATATATATATTTCTGCAGAAAAAATGTTTTGTATTGATCAATTGTGTATAATCAGTGTGAGTAGCACTCAGTTTCTACTGATATGATTAATAACTTTTATTACTAAATAACTATTATTATTATTACTATTAATTTAATACTATTTACTTGCTGACAATCATGAATGCACAACCGGTTTCTGTGAATCCATTGTATTCTAAAGTCTCCATTTTACTTTTTTTATTTTATTTATTTTATTTTCCCCGCTGAAATGAAACCTACTTTTCTCTGATTTTACCGGGGTTTTTTTTTGTATCCTTTGAATAGAAGATTCTATTTGCTGAAGCTCATTCATATTTTAAGCAAATATAAACTGTGTATACATATTCAGTTATATATATATATATATATATATATCGCTTCCATAGATTGCTTCTTTGAAACAATCCTCCCCGTAACCCGTCCCTCCTGTCTCTTATCTTTTCTCAAAGAACAAGTTTATGTTTCCACCAACAACGAAAAGTGTTCATTTGTGTATTTATTGTTTCTATGTATAAATATTTATAATAATTGTCATTTTCATTTTCTTTTCAACCATCTGTCTTTGTCTGTTTTTTCTGTGTGTGTGTGCGTTTTTTCCCCTCGTGATAAACGCTAAGTAACACAACACAACACTGTGTGTAATTTATAAATGTGTAATTATGTATGTATTGTTTCGATGATCACTGATGAAAGGCTCTTCTTCACAATCATTTCTATGTTTCAGATACCCACACACATATACATATATCAATCAGAATAGGTATTATTACTATTATAAAATTATTATTAATATTATCAATAAATATTATTACTATTGATGCATAATTGTTTTTTCTATTTGTTTCTCTCACCCTCCCCCTACTCCTCTGGGTAATCTTAAGTTTCTTGCAAGTGTAATGAATGCGCTGAATGGTGACTAGCAATTGAATCCAATAGGATATGTATTTCCTCCTATTCGGAACTCATCAGCTGGATGTACCTACATTTCTAGTGATGAGTGATGTTGGTTGCTGGGTTCGAGTCTCAGTGGGAACAGCATCACTCACTTGGAATGCAGGTACATCCAGTTGATGAGTTTCAAATAGGGGAGCAGAAATGCCGCCAGGAGTGAGTCAACATGTCAAAAGAAGGCGAACATTTCGATCGAGTATAATCGATCAATAAGGGAAATCAAAATTGAATTAAAAACAACGGATGTGTTGTTTACAGTGCTGAAGTAGATCTACAATGTCAACTGGTAAATTAGGAAGACAGGGACCGAGGGTGAAGCTTAACATAAATTAACTTTTAAATGACTTCAATTGTTGTGTTTTTTTCGCAGTGCATTTGTGTGTAAAACTACTGATTAAAATGTTGTACACAAAAACCGCTACATGATCCTAGTCTTCATAAAATTCTTATTATTTTAAAACAAATAGGCGTTCAGCGAAGAATTTACTTTAAAACAAGCAATAAAGGTTAATAAAGCAGGATTTAATGAATTCATCAAATTTCGGTAGAACTCGTCAGCTGAATACTCTACATACATGGATATAATATACTTTTGAAATTACATTGGGAGATATAAGACTGATAAGTAAACAAACTACATTGAATTAGTCATGCAGAAAGACAGGTGCGAATGTTTTCCAGGTCATGTTCAAATAGATAAGGGGAGAGAGAGTATGGGAGATCAAAATTAAGATAACTTGCATTACGCTTCAATTACATCACTTAGATAAACAATTAGTCATTAGAGAATATAACAAGAATTGCAAACAGAGTAATATCAATAGTAATAGTTATAATAACAATAATAATAATAGTGTTGAAGTGAGTTAAGATAATCCTACTGATAAAGGATAGTTTTAAATGAATCAAGAATAATAATAATAATTAGAGGTAGAAATAATAAGTAAAACATATTACCATGGTAGATTCAGAGTCACGACCATCTCCTTTTGTACACAGAGACCTGGTTTATAAACTCGAATTGCACAAGCCTCTGCAATTGCAAGCATCTTCTTGTTTCTTTGTCTGCTGACAATAGTGAATGACTTGACCGCGTCGATATCATGTCCGTAGTCCACAAGATGTTTTGTTATTGAGGATTTTGGCACTTTGCACTCAGCTGTTTTCAACCATTTTGGCAAATGCTCCATCATGCGAGTAGACAATCGCCTTTCTGTACGACCTATGTATTTGCTTCCACAAACACACTCAAATTGATATACGCAGTTTGAAGTGTCGAGGATTGGCGTACTGGTCTTTCCCAGATTGTTGAAGCACTCGCTTAGTGGTGTTAAGGATAACAAGTTTTGCAGCATAATAAGTTCTCTTGATGGCTTTATCGAGTCTTCGTTTGACTGCTTCCTGTACATTATCTCCTTTGTTTTCATTCTTAAGCTGTACAGTCGGCAACAAAAGGAATGTTTCTAAAGATGTGTCATTAGAGTTGTAAGTGTTTTAAGATAACAATTATGTAATACAGAAAGTGATAATCGGGTAGAAAGTGAAATAAAATTAAATAAGTAAACCTAATGACATTGTAACGACAGAAGACAAGAGCCAGGTAACAGATCGTTTACTCAGAAAATCAACAGATATTTATAGATTTTTATGTACATTATTGTCAGTGGAGAAGCAACGTCTTCTGACTGGTTGTTTTCTTGCTGAAGGTTATTCCGTGCTGCTTGTGACCGTTTCTTAGAAAGTTAAGGCATATATCTGCGAATCGTATTTGCACACGTTAAATCTACTGTGATTGGTTGAGGTTAAGCTTTGTTATTGTTTTTCTCATGACCCCAATTTGGGACGTAACATTGCCGTAAATTGGTGTCTACAATTTTTGGCTTGCATCCAGCTCTCACCACAACATAATTTAATTGACGGGACTGAGTAGAACTCAGCTAAAATTGAACCAGAGTCAAGTTAAGAGCAGTGATAATAAAGGATTGAAATGTAATAGGAGGTAAGGAAAAATATTATTACTACTACCGCTGATAATAATAACAATAATAGGTAAGGATGATCGTAGCGCTAATATCGCGAATTGGTAGGAGTTGGATTCATGGGCCATTGAGTCGGGTCCCATTGTCTGAATGATCTACCAGTTTGCCTTGTAACCGGAAGGTCCTGAGTTCGTATCTTGGCGGTGGATGCGTACTACTGAAGAGTCACATCTTAGAATGAAACGGCTGTTCAGCTGTACTCCCTGGTTTCCAATGGTTCTCAAACTGGCATCAATCCGTGATCAAACTTGAAAAAAGTCGAACCCCTACAAACTAACTCTTGAGAAATAATACAAACAAAAATAAACTGCCTATCCGGTGTTATAATATAATTAATCCTAGCAGATTTATGATGCATTTTGGAACTTATGTCTACGCTGTGCTGTGATGAGTTCCAAATAAGAAGGGATACCCTTCATGAGTTCTACTGTTGGTCTCTATCAACTAAATAACATCATTCTGGCCTTAGGGTATCTATCATAGAACTGTATCCTTACTAGGAGACGAAATCTCACCAGAGATCGATATTTCGAGTCCATTTTTAGAACAGTCAACTGAAAATTCAAAAATAATAAATCATAACAAATAGGAACTCTAAAAATTTGTTCATAATGACATGTTCATTATATCGAAGGTAATTGAATGTGAAGACATTGTGGAGATATTTGTTTAAA